AGCCTGCAGGGGTCAAGGAGGATCACAATTGAGAAAGGGCCATTGATTTAGCAGTTCAAAGATCATTGGTAACTTTGGAGAGGGAAGTTTCAATTAAATGAGGAAACCAGATTGCAGAGAGTGAGAGTAAAGGCGTAGAGGAAGCAGAGGCCCAGTCAGTCAGCTAGCATTTATTTAACACCTACTATTTACCAGACACGTTAAGCACTAGCAATACAAAGAAAAGTCTCTATGCTCAAGGAGCTCATAGTCTAATTAGAGGAGACAACATGGAAACAATTATGGACAAACAAGATATATACAGGATAAACTGGAGATAATCACCAGTTGGAAGGCACTAGCATTAAGGGGAAGTTTAACCATAAAAGGAAGGAGAAACAGGATAATAGCTAGTGAGGACGGTAGGGCCAAGTGAGTGTTTTTTGTTCTTTTTTCCAAAGGATTGGGAGACATGAGTATGTTTCAGCAATAGGTTGGAACCTGTAGGTTAGGATTTTTAGATGAGAAAAGAGAGGATAATGAGGGTCATTTGATGGAATAATAGGGAGGGTATGGGATTAAATCTACACCTAGAGAGTTTGACCTTGGCTAGGAGAAAGGCATGTACTTTATGGAATTAATTTACTTTTTCTTCTTCTGTAAGTTATTTGCAAATAGGCTGCAAATACCTTTGTATTGTTCTGTTTACTTAGGCTCTGTGAGCACAGTAAGGCAAGATGACCAAGTATTTCATGAAATGATGTTTCTTCTTGCCTTTGGATGCATGACACTGTAATGGGGATAATCAGGAGAGCTCCTCTGATCTGCTGGATCTTTGGCCACTTTTGGTGAGACTGTGCGTTCTGGCTCAGTGTGAAAGGACCTGCCAATTTGGGGAATAATGAAGCAAACAAGGTAGTTCCCACCACAAAGATGGCAGGGGACATCTACTTCAGTTTCAAAGCCAGAGAAGGCTAACGCTCTTCTTCCCTATCTTCCAGAGCATGTGGCATGTAACTCTCTTATCTGGGACTTTGTATGAGGTTGGGGGGCCTTTTCCATCCCTGGCAGTTACTTAGGTTTCAAGGAACCTGCCTAGATGAGCTTGAGCTCTGGTTGCCTCTTCTGCTTTGTTTCTTTCCTTGAGCGTAAGTAATGGAACAACAACCCCAAGATAGCCATTTCAGCTTCAGAGACAACCTTGTGAGTTCAAGAGGTCAAGTGGGAGTTCCTCCAATTATTAACATTCAATGAGGTTTAATATAGGGTGACTATGGTCACCAAAGGTGATTTTTTGGTCACCAAAAGTGACAAAGGCACTTTTTATGGAGAAAAGAATACAAAAGGAAGAGTGAACCTCTCTTTTAAGGATCCCAGAATATCACAGGTTATTCTTAATGGGATCTATGGCTATGTAGAAGAGATCAGAAATCTGTATAGGAAAAACCAAGCTGATGAATGACTATGACCATGACATGCAATTGGAAGGGCAGTAGTTTAGCCCAGATTAACAAGAGGAAGAGAATAAAGTTACACTGCATTTTGGAAATTGTGCCATGTTTTCAACAATCCCAAGGTTTTCAACATATCTTTTCAAAAACAAATATTCTGGCAATGCTATGGTTTTGAATGCTAAATCTCTGAAAAATCAGAATTGTAAGTAATCAAAGGGCAATGTAGAAATACATGGCAAAAATTTTTTTAAATTTGTAACTAATTTTTTTTAAACTTGTAACTTACATCCAACATTGACCCATGGCCCAGAAATGATATTGAGATATTATCCACATCTATGGTTTGAAAAGGAGATGGGACAGCCCTATTGCAAGAGTAAGAATAACAGATGGACATCCTGAGGGTACTACTGATGGCTACAAGATGTAAAGTGTTCTAGAAGAAATTGGAACCCTTGGACTAGAAGATCTCTTTAGGTCTCTTTCAGTTCTAAATGGTGAAGCATAGCTCTGGTTCATTAGAACCAAAGATTAAGATTCAACAAAGTCCTACTAAGCATTTACTATATGCAAAATACTGTGCTTCAGGCAATAGAATCCATCCAGAAGTGATCAAAGAGTTTATAATATTAAAAAGATGAATAACAAGTACACGAATAACTAGGATACATAGGGAGATAAATTGGAGGAAGTAGGCCAGGTAAACTGCAATGAGACTTTTAAGGAGACATCACTTTCAGTAGGTGATTAATTGCTTTCTGAGAGTAGGCATTCATTTCCAACATTTTTATTTTATTTTAATTAAAAATTTTCCCCCGATTGCATGTAAAAACAATTTTTAACATTTGTTTTGAAATTTTTGAGTTCCAAATTCTTTTCCTCCCTCCCTGCCTGAAAAAGTAAACAATTTGATATAGCTTATACATGTGCAATCATGCAAAACATATTTCCATGTTAGTCATGCTGTGAAAGAAAACAAAGACCAAAATATTCATGCTCGGTCACCTGCAAGCACACACATGCAGACACATACACACACACACACACACACACACACACACACACACAGAAAGAAAAACAGTATGCTTTGAACTGCATTCAGATTCCATCTGTTCTTTCTCTAGAAGTATATAGCATTTTTCATCATTAGTCCTTTGGAATTGTCTTGCATCATTATACTACTGAGAATAGCTAAGTCATTCACAGTTGATCATACAATATTGCTGTTACTGTGTACAATGTTCTCCTGGTTCTGCTCACTTCATCCTGCATCAGTTCATGTAAGTCTTCCTGGGTTTTTCTGAAATCATCTTGCTTGTCATTTCTAGTACAATAGTATTTCATTACAATTATACACCACAATTTGTTCAGCCACTGTGCAATTGATCAGCCATCCCCTCAATTTCCAATTCTTTACCATCACAAAAAAACTGCTATAAATATTTTTGTACAAATAGGTCCTTTTCCCTTTTCTTTTTATCTCTTTAAGACCTATTAGTGGTATTGCTGGGTCAAAGGGTATATACACAGTTATAGGCCTTTGGGCATAGTTCCAAATTGCAATTCACAATTCAAACAGTGCATTAGTGTCCCAAATTTCCCACATCCCCTCCAACACTTATCATTTTTTTTGTCATATTAGCCAATCTGATAGGTGTGAGGTGGTGCCTCAAAGTTGTTTTCATTTGCATTTCTCTAATCAATAGTGATTTAGAAAATTTTTTTCATTACTATAGATAGCTTTGATTTCATCAGAAAAATCAAAAACTGCCTATTCATTATCTTTTAACCATTTAGCAATTGGAGAACGACATGCATTCTCATAAATATGACTCAGTACTCTATATATTTGAGAAATGAGGGCTTTATCAGAGACACTTGCTGTAAAATTCCCGCCCCCCCCCCAGTTTTCTTTCCTTCTAATCTTGGTTGCATTGGTTTTGTTTGTGCAAAATATTTTTAATTTAATGTAATCAAATTATCCATTTTACATTCCATAATGCTTTATCACTTGTTTGGTCATAAATTCTTCCCTTATCCATAGATCTGACAGGTACAACATTTCTTTTAAAAGTAAATATAGGAATTTGCTAGAAAATTAGAACGTGCTCAAAATATCTTTTTAAAAATTGGTGAACGTAACACTTTTGAGTTTAGTAAGGCTTACTGTATTTTTTTTAAACATTTCATTAGCAAAGCCAATGCAGGAGTGAACATTTGGAAGGTTCCCCCCGCCCCAACCCCAAATCTAGCTAAATTTCCTAGTCTGTCATCTGATTATTTTGGAGTAGCTAAAGGAAAATCTCTTCTTTCAACATTGCTGGCGCTGGCAGGCGGTGCAGAGGAGTCCAATCGGACAGCCATGGAACCGCTTCCATCTCCCTTGGCGAAGATAACCAGGCTCCATTCATAGCGCTCGGCCGGCTCGCTGCCCCGGCTCGCTGCCCCGCCTCCTCCGCCCTGCCTCCTCCCGGCCTAAGCAGCATCCCCAGGGCGGATGCTGCTAATCCAAGCGCAGCTGCAAGGCCTCCTGCCCGCCCAGAAAAGCCTCGCGAGCACGCGCGGCCAGAGCCCGCCAGATTCTCCCTCCCCAAAACACAGCCCCAGAGGCCTGAGGCCCGGATGCCCGCCCCCAAACCCCAGCAACAACAATCGCAGATTCCCTCCCCGCCTTTTAGAGATAGTACACACCTACACACGCACGCGCGCGCACAAACACACACTCACATTCGCACGTAGAAAGCCAGCAGCTGCGGGGAGGAGGTGGAGGACTCAGCCATTCAGAAAGCATCTGGAGGGGGAGGCATTCTTGCAGTCTTTGTCCCCTCCTTCCTCTGCTAGCGCAGCCGAGCAAGACTGATCTAAAAACCGCCTGCTATTCTCGGGGGGCCCCCCAGAGCTTCTGTCTCCGCAGCACGAGGCCGCCCCGCTATCCCCTTCGTCTCCTCCTGTTCCATCCCCCCTCCTTTTCGCGCGCAGTTGGTCCGGCCCGGGCGCTCGCAGGCGCGGAGTGAGAAGCGCGCGGGAGCCGCGGCGGCAGTTGCGTCTCGTGGGCTGAGGGAGGAGGCGCGGGCTGCGGCATCTGGTGGCGCAGCTTCCCCTCGCGTGGGCGCCGGCGCCGAGGAGGCGGTAACCGCAGCAGCGGCGCGAGGCCCAGGCAGGTAAGCTGAGGCGGCGGAGCTGGTGCACCCGCCTGCCGCGGCCTGGCTTGCGGATTTAGGGAATTTGGGGGAGCGGTCGGCCTTAGGCGAGGCGGTTAGCGGCGGCCTGTGGGGGCCCGGGCATCGGGGTGAGGAGGCAGCTCCTTGGTCTCTCCTGGCTTTGACTCTTTCCCGCCGTGCCGCTCCCGGGGCCTGGCACGGCCCCCTCTTTGCCCAAGAGCGGCTCTGGGGAGACAGGGCAGGAGCTGGGGGCGCCTCTTCGGGGCTAGACAGCATCTGCGGGCCTCACGGCGCCTGCCGGGGTCGGGGAGGCCGCCGCGCATTTCCCGGGAAGGGGAGGGGTGGTGCCGGCTGCCCCCCGCGGCGCCCGGGCCTCGGTAACAGCTCTCTTTCCGTCTTCTCGCAGGCGTATCCGGAGGCTGCGGGCTCCCCTCGCAGCCCAGACTGACGCTCCCTCCGCCCCCTTGCAGCGCCTCGTCACAGCCGCTTATCCCTGGGGTTGGGACCCCCAGCCCCGCGGCCCCGAGATGACTCGCGATTTCAAACCGGGAGACCTGATCTTCGCCAAGATGAAAGGTTACCCCCATTGGCCAGCCCGAGTAAGTGCCTGACTGGTCCCGCGTAGCGGTCCTGCCTCCCAGGCTGGGCCCGCCGTCCTCACGCCCATTGCTTGTGTCCTGGCCATCCTTTTTATTTTTTTTTTCTCCTCGAGTTTCTTGTTGAACAAGCTTCTGTCGAATATGTAGAAAACTAGGAGCCTCATTCTTTTTAGCGACTTCGTCACTTCGGTTTTTTTTTTTTTGGTATTTTTTTTTTGTCTTTTTTAAAGTAACTGAGGATAGGGGGGTTTTGTATTTGCTGGTTAGGTTTTTTTTTTTAATAGAAACAGTTTATTAGTATTTCGTCTTACTGGCCCTTGTTTTTTTTCTTCTTCTTGGGGATGAGCATACAAAATAAAATGAGTTTTAATTAGCCTTCTTTCCAAGGCTGCTAGCTTCCCTTTGTGCTATACTTTAATAAAACATTTTTTCCACATTATGATCAGTTTTGGGATTTTTACAGAAGTATAGTTGTGTCTTCAGACATTTAGTAGGGTGAACTTTGAAGCAAGAAACCGATTTTTTTTTTTTGGCTACGGATATTCAATCTAATGAAGGTGTTTTGTTGCTACTCCCAAAACCCAAAATGCTCACATCCAGATTGTTAGCACACCAGGCTATCCATTAGACATTTTGACTTTGTAGAAGTAATCTTGAGCAGAAAAAAACCTTAAGGCCAAGAAAGCTTTTTAGCTACTTGGTGGTGGAAAGGAAGTACATAAAAATGAAATTGTCATATTTTGAAATGCATGGTAGTACTTGTCTTTTAAGTACTTATATTTTCTACAGCTAATTTTTATTTTAGTAACTTGTTGAAATAAATTTTATTCTGAGGTTTGTTTTTTTTTAACGATTCCCATTTTAACATTTTTCAAAATAATTCAAGACATTTTTTCGTCCCGAGAGTGACAGAGTTCACGGACAATTTTATATATTTGTTAAACAGAAGGATGAGGTGAGAGGTCCAAACTTGTGATACCAGCGGTGCAAGGAATTTACTGGTGGAGAAATTCATACAAGTGCACATCTGCAGCTTTTCTGCAGTTTTAGTCTTAGACTTAGAGAATTACCTAGGGGTCACATAGCTGTCCCGCATGATGCCAAAGGTTATGTATCAGTTAGACCATGTTGTCTTATCAACAGAATGATACATATGGTCACAAAGAGTCCAATTTTAGCAGTTTTTTCTTTTTCCGTGGAGTGTTCATTAAGGTGTTTTGTTTTTCTTAAGATTACCTCTCATTTTTACTCTGTATATCTTCTTTATTATGTAGTTGTTTGTGTTTGCATGGTGATTTTCCATTAGAATGTGAGCTCCTGGAGGCCAAGGACAATGTTTTTGCCTTTCTTAGTATCTCCAATACTTAGCACAGTGACCAGCACATGTTAAATGCTTAATGAATGGTTGTTAACTGACCAAAGGGTCCTCTGCACTTGGAATTTTTTTATATCGTTGAATAAGTAGTTTGTTGTGAAGTATGACTTCTGTAAGTTATTTTGCTTATCTGGTGCGTTGCCTTTTTTACCTGGCCTTCAATTGTAGTAACATTTATGTAGCACTTTAACGTTTGCAAAATGCTTCACAGATATTACCTTATTTGATCTCACAACTGCCATAGGTGGTGTTATCCCTCCATTTTACAAATGAGGAAACTGGGACTGAGAGGTTAAGTGACTTAGCCAGAGTCACGCAGATAGTGGCTTGATGTTGGATTTGAACACAGCGCTTCTTGACTCCAAACCACCTAGCTTACTTAGCTCAGGTCCTGTTTCTTCTTCCATAAACCCTCTGTTGCCTTATATTGTTGCTATTATCCCTTTTCTCTGTCCTTCCCATTTACTCCTAACACTAATTGTCTATATCACTCCTGGAATTTAGAGATCATTTAATTTAATACTCATAATTGGCAATGGAGACTAAAGTGTTATAAGAGGTTCAGCCATTGTAGCAGAAACTATTAAATGATTGTTTTTTTTTACCTATCCCATGCTTTGTGATAGCATGTTTCTCTTTCCAACTAGGTTCTAAGCTCCTAGGATAGAAACTATGTATTTCATTGTGTCTGGTGTGCAGAGAGAGCTGGATTTCGAGTCTGGAAGACCCAGGTTCAAATCCTGCTTCTAACAGTTGCTTGTGTGACTTTGAGCAAGACACCTAACAGGTGGTGTAGTGGATAGAATGCTGGACTTGGGAGTCAAAAGAACAACAACAAAAACAACAAAAAAACCACCCAAGTTCAAATCAGACACTAGCTGAGCAAGTTACTTATACTCTTTTTGCCTCCTCTTTAAAATGGAGATACAGCACCTTCTCAGGGTTCTTGTCAGGATCAAGTGAGATAACATGTGTAAAGTGCTTTGCAAACCTTAAAGCCATATATAAATACTAGTATTTATCTGACTCGGGCATTGCTATATCTGAGGCTGTTTCTTTATTATCTCTGCCACCCTGCCTCTTATGTGCCTATGTTGAAGTATTGTGAATTCTAAAAATAGACATTCATATCCAATTGAAACTGTAAGTCTATAGCCAAATAGAAATTATTTTTGAATTATATTTATTAGATAACTGCAGTTTGGTCTTTTTATTGCTGGATCAGAACTGTTCTTTTGAGTCCATGTTTTCCAAATACCCAAAAACAAAAAAAGTGCAGTATGATCTCACAGGTTGACAATCCTAGTGTTAAATTCTTTGTGCTGACTTTCACCACAAGACATGTCTTTGTTCACCAGAGGTGCATTAGGGACTTTTTCATATCTGTATTTCAAAAAGAACTTTTTGTATAATGTAAGTAAATTTGGATACACATACGTTACATATATGTTTTGATACAGGGTAGAATGTCATTACAAATGTATCCTGAATTTAATAAAAAGCTCTTCAGAAGCCCTTTTAGTATTTTTGACATTATGGTTTTATCTGAGTAGATGTTGATCTCTTCTGAGTGATAATCTCATGCTCATAGAAGTTAAGATGTAAAGATCTTGATTTTTTTTAAATCTTTTTTTCTTTTAGGTAGATGAAGTTCCTGATGGAGCTGTAAAGCCACCTACAAATAAACTGCCTATTTTCTTTTTTGGAACTCATGAGACGTAAGTTCTCTAGGTTAAAATTTATAAACTTACTTAGCAAGACTTTTAGATGTGAAATAGACAACCAAAGAAGGATTAATTCAAGGAGGAAATATTTTAGATAGCCAGTATAAAACAATAAAAACTTATTGTTGATTGTTGGAAATATTCTCTCAAAGTTTTACTATGATTGTTTGGGTTACAAGCTTTAAGACAGTGTACATATCAGGTGAGATTGATATTCATTAGTTTTGGGTCAGTAGCTGACTTCCTTGCCAGTGAAAAGTAGAATTTATCTCTGAATGTTTTGTGATAACATGGTTGTTTTTCCAACTAGTTCTAAAATTTTTTTTTTTTGGCTGGAGAGGCCTAGTCCCTGTATACATAACTGCAAGGTGGGGGTGGGGGTGGGGGTGGGGGTGGGGGTTAGGGAGAAGGTGCTTATCGCCTTCAGTTGGTCAAACCAGCATGACTGTTCAGGTGGCTATCAGGTGGATGACCTAGGATCTCTGTATTTAATGTCCTTGACATGCAGTGGAATGCTGCTCCTTTGCTTGGACAGTTTTGAATTTGAATAAAAACAGCTGTCCCCTGCTTTTACTGCCCCTAAGAGCTGCTGTCTACCATCTAATGTTGCCTCTTCTCCATTGTTCTTGCTGTCATAGGAGCTGTTTGGCTTTGCTTCCATATTTTACACTTGGGACTTGGACTCTGCTATTAATGCTATTTCAACTATTTTGTGAATCTTTTGCTTTACTGTTTTTATCTTCCCTTTGTGCCAAACAGTAATGCTTTTGAGGATTAACAATTAGGATCACTTTGATATTTTTATACCTGAATATCTGTAATGCTGTCTTGATTTAGAACATTTTTCCAAATGAAAGAACTACCAGAAAATACATTGATAAATGATTTTACAATACTGAGAGGTAAAAAGAAAAAAAAAATCTAAATTGCAGGAAAGGGCATTTAAAATTCTATTTTAATTTAAAATATACAAAGCGATACTAGTATTTGGTATGACTAAAGTAAACTTATAGCAAATAGAATTTGGTGTTACTAAATAGTTGGTGGGTCAGGTCAAATCACTATTTATTCTCCAAATTACCCACTCCCGTTTTGTGCACTGGTTTCCCTGGAGATTTTTTGAATAGCTGTTTAGATGTTGGACTGACTAATTTTCGTGTACTTTCAGCCATTGAGTCTTGGGGTCAGCAAACAGAAGAACCATAGCAGTGCTCCTTTAAATATTATGTCCTATGTAATATGAGTTTTGGAGCTTTGGAGGATAGTAGAACGGGAAGTTAGGTAAAATTTATACTAGGGACATGTGTTTGGTAAAAAATAGAGGGAAAGGGGGCAGCTAGGTGGTGCAGTGGATAGAGTACTGGCCATGGAGTCAGGAGGACCTGAGTTCAAATGCTGCCTCAAACACATAACACCCACTAGCTGTGTGACCCTGGGCAAGTCACTTAACTCCATTGCCTAGCCAGAAAAAGAAGAATAAGAGTGGAGGGGAAAGCAAAACAACAGTTATTAGTTTGACTTTTGCATATTGTCATGAGGTTATTAATAGCCTTTCTTCAGAAATCATAACCAGAAAATAATTCATTATGCAATGTACATAAGTAAAAGGCTTATGATATTCAGATATATTTTTGATGATTTTGAAGGTTAAAGCCTTGCACCTTGAACATAGTTGGGAATAAAAGTGTTAGCACCTGTTCTTGTCTCCCTTTATAAACTTACAATTTTGGTTATTGTTCCTCTGAATTGTGGCCAATTAACCTTGACTCTGTTGTCTTTGTATGGAAATATAATCTCAAAAGATAAGTTTTTAAATTGTATTGCAAAGTGAACGTATTCATATTCCAAAATGACTTTTATCGGTGGATATGCAACTAGCATCATATTTGATTTAGAAGTAGTTGTAATACAATCAGGTGTAAGGCAAATCTTGAAAGTTTAATAGTCTGTCTTCAGTTCTCTCTTACATATGTGAAGTCAAAGCCACCTGGATTTTGAATTCTGATTTGGGGGGGGTGTCCTATTTTTTCCCCCCACTTAATATTTTATTTTTTCCAATTATATGTACAGATAGTTTTAAACATTCATTTTTTGTAAGATTTTTGAGTTTCAAATTTTTCTCCCTCCCTTATCTCCTTCCTACCCAAGTCAGCAATCAATCTGATAGTTTATACATGTACAATCATGTTAAACATATTTCCACATTAGTCATGTTGTGAAAGATCAGAACAAAAGGGGAAAACCGCAATAAAGAAAAAAGAAACAATAAAGAAGTGAAATTAGTATGCTTCAATCTACATTTAGACTTTATAGTCCTTTCTCTGGATGTGGACTAACTTTGTGACCTCAAGCTCAGTCATTTTACTTTAATGGGCCTCTCATCTATAAAATAACCAAATCTGAATGAAAGATTTGAACTAGATCTACTTCCACTATCCCTTCAAACTCAGTATCTAATTGTGCGACCTAAACAAGTAGTCCTGTAATTGTATTTTGGGGTCTAGACCTGTGATTTCTGCAGTAACCCATTACAAATGGAGGATCAGCAACTGTTCTGCAACAAATAAGAGTGTTTTGCTCTGGCCACTGGGAGGTTAAAGGACTCTGAAGGTCAGATCATTATATCATTCTGTTAAATATCACATATTTGGGGTAGATTTTGAAAAGTTAATGCTCTAGTAACTTTCTTACCTTAGCATTTTCTAATTCTGTATTTGTTCATTTTTGGCAGTCTTAACGTGCGTAGTATGGTATACTCATTTATTATAGGAAGACTCTTTTTGGGTGTAAGGATGAGAATTAACTTTTCTTTATAGCTATTTGGTTTTATGCTTTATTTATAAGTAAATTGAATCTTGGAAGAATCAGCATAAAGGGGAGTGGACAAATGGCCCTATTCACTGGGGTTTTTGAAGTGATTTCCTAGCTTAGGGAAGAAGCTTGTCCTTGGGCAGCTATCCTAGTAAAATAAAACAGGGAAATACCTTTTGAAGTTATTTTCACTAAATGAAATTGTACTCTAATAGAAGGAACTCCAATATTTAGTCATTTATTTTTTATGGGTATTATATTTGACAATAACATGGCAGATTGGGGAATTTTTTTTCATGGCATTACTACAAACGCATACTACCTGTTACTCTGGGCTCAAATGCTCTGATAATGAATATAAGAAGTTGAAAATTTAGCAATGGAAGGATCATTTGGTTTGCACATATGGCAGTACACTGACACCAAACTGAACTCTTCATGGGTGATTGATTATTGCAGTAAGCTTTAATTTTAAAATAAAATTTTATTAAAAATTAATTTAAGAGTTAATAGAATTTGTCTGATTCTGCTTTATGGCCTACTTGGTAAATGCTGATGTCTTTGATTTTTCCTTTTGTTTTCAATTCATATATCTAATGTCCCTTATTCCCCTAATAATTTTAGTCACATGCAATTCCATTGTGTCAAGTAAACTTGAGAATGTTTAGTATTTATTCATGTTCACTAGCTGTGTCACAAATTCAATAACTTGAGTTTCACTAAATCACACAAAACTTTCAAGTTTCATCAGTGAGAAACATAATTCTTGATTACGTGTTCCAAGAATTGTCTGCTCTTGTGCAGCTTTTCGTTTTGCTGCTTTGGTTTGCATGTAAACAGATTTGCTTTATTAAAAACTAGACACTGATAATCAATACTTGATATAGGTAATTATTTGCATTTAAATTTATGTCAACAAAAAGAATCCTAATTGTGTAGATAACTCTTGAAGGTCCTTATCAGGATTCTTTTTCATTCTTAACTCACATTTTTCTTAGGTACTTGATCTCATCAGCCTCTGCTTTGTATTATTTCAAGATGATCTATTCAATTTTCTTAATGCCATATGGTAATTGACTATTATAATGTACACAATTAAAATGTAATCTCATTAGACTGCAAGCTTTTTGCTATTAGGGATTATTGCTGTTATTTTTTTTTTCGATTGTATCTCTAAGCACCTAGCAAGTATTTGCCACATGGTGGGTGTTAAATGTTTGTTGATTGAATTTACTTAATCATTTCCCTATTGTATTGTTGGATACCTCGTTTGATTCCAGTTTTTTGTTGTAACTATGCCTCCAGTTTCATTTTGATAACATTTTCAGGTTTATTCCTAATAATAGAATTACTGGTGTAAAGGGTATAATTATTTGGTAACATTTCCTGTATAGTGCCATATTGCTTCCCAAAAAAAGATACTGAATGTTTTTAATTCCACCAGCTGTTAGGAGTCATTTCCCTTATCATTTTGATAAAAGTAGTCATAAAATGTGCTTTCTGGAATCTTAGATATAGGAAACTAAAGATAATTTATGAAGGTGCTGCATTTCAAAAGTTAAAAATTAATGGGTATATAAATCTCTAGAAGAATCTCAATTTTTTCCTCAACTATCAGGATTTAAACGATTCTAGATGTAAAATTATCAAACTGGTGCAATAACGAAGATACCTTGCGAGTAAGATTTGCTTATTAAGGTGTATAAAAGAAAAGAGGGATTGGGCAGTTAGTTTCAAAAAGGCAATTTCATGGTCTGTTTATCTCCTTTGGAGAACACCAGAAATACAATGTTGCAAAATGTCTCAAAGTAATTGTTTGCTTAGGTCTATGAATGTTGGCTCTTAGGTCTGTGATAGTGTCCTGCTTTTGTTTTCTTCAATTATACAAAAGGGTAGTAGTTCCTTAGCACTCCCCAACCCCTCCTTAATTCAAATGTGGTAAAGAATAATCAATCATTCCAATGCCATTTATTAAATTAGTAGCAGTGTTGAAAAGTGATTTAGACTGCCAGAACTGTGAGGGTTTGTTTTCTAGTTTCATTGGTGGGTGGGGCAAGTTTTTGGATACAGATGATAGCAGGGGTTCTTAATCAGAGGTCAGTGAATTTTTATAAAAAATTTTATGAACTATTGCAATATAATTGGTTTCATTTGTAATCCTTTTTGAATTTTAGTCATTTAAAAACATCTATGGGTTTCACCAGGCTGCCAAAGTAAGGATCCATGCCATAAAAAAAGTGAAGGATTACAGTATCCAGTTTCAGTTCTAACCAGAGTGAAATAGTGAAATTAACTTACCTCTTTTTGGGCTAGAATGAGTCCCTAATAGTGTAGCTATACCCTGATTTTATTCATTCAATTAATTTCCTACTTTTTAAAAAAAAGGGATAATTTATCATAATTGCAGCTAGTTTTAGTATAAAAATCATAGTACTGTTTTCTAGGAATACTGTATTATCTTAGCCTTGTTACTATAGTAATTCGTGTTTATTGAAGAATTTATACTGTATTATTTGAACAAAATGGAGAAATAATTGTCCAGAGAGCATGCCTACATAAGGTAGGTGATTGTTTTAATGGAATTAGGGAAAGTACATTGCTATAAGTAACCAATATTTGAGTCATGGTTTTGAACTAAAATTTGTTCATAAAGAGACTTCAAAAATGGAGCACAGTTCTGTTTTAACATCTTCATAAATTGATAACAGATCTTTTTAAAGTATGAGGTTCCTATTATGTTTAATTTATTCACAGAAATTTTTAAATTTAATTTTAATTTTTAAAAGTAATTTATTTTTAGTTTTGAACATTCACTTCCATACGCTTTTGAGTTTTATATCCCCCCTAAGACTGCATGGAATCTGATTATAGGCTCTACATATACATTCCTATTAAACATATTTTCACATTAGTCATGTTGTAAAGAAGAATTAGAACCAATAGGAGGAACCACAAGAAAGAAGAAACAAAACAGAAGAGGAAAAAAAAAGAGGAAATAGTATGATCGAAATAGTATGATCGATAATAGATCGAAGGATCTGCATTCCAACTCCATAGTTCTTTCTGTGGATATGGATAGCAAAAAATTGTAATTTTAGGGAAGCTTATTAGTCATGTATTTCAGATATGTTGAATTCCTGCTCCACTGATGAACTCAATAGTTGATCACATCAAATGAACTAATGAACATATCAACTTAGACCTGGCCATAGTTTATATATATTTATATATAGTTTAAATATCCTAGTTTTATTCAGATACTTAGGTGGTATACATTTCTTGTGGGAAGTAGTCAAATCTTTTTGTGTTAACAACAAACTGTTAAAGAAGAGTCATTCCCAAATTTTCTCTACTGAGAAGGTAAAGCCAACCAAGTATTTCTGCTCCTGTGATTTGATAGACATAGATATATATTCCAGGTTGCAACCCATCCAAACCTACCTATCCTTTTCTCCATGTTCTTCAGGAAATCTGCCTTAGTAGGATATGTGCCCAGTATGCTGGGGTCGTTTTCTAGATCCTTTGAATTTGTATGGATATGAGTAGAACCTATGGGTTCCAATTCTCAGATCACTGGGTGGTGATTTAAAAAAATTGGTTCCCTCCCACATTTTTTAACATGTCATTAAACTTTGCCTTGCAGTGAAGGACAGTTAAGCATAACTGAAAGATAATCTTTATAGTTGGCATTCTTTACTCACATTCCCCAAACTCCTTTGCCAAGAGGGGAAAATGGTGTGACCTCCACAGTTTCCTGGAACCATGATTGCACTTTGAAATTAATCTGAATTCAGCTGCTGTTATTGTAGGCATAAGTGGTTATTCATTTAAATTGTCTGTATTCTCCAGATTTTGCTCTCTCCATTTTATATCACGTCGTGTAAGTCTAACCATGTTTTTCTTTATCATTTCTTAAAGAACAATTTATTATATTCATATACCACAGTTTGTTCAGCCATTTCCTAATTTGGGACCATAAACCTTTTTAAATTTTCTAGCACAGAGAATGCTGCTCTGAATATTTTGATGTGTTTATAGGTAACATTTCTTTCATTGACTTCTTCAGAGTGTATCTCCAGTACTGGAATAGATGGATCAAAGGATAGCAACAGTTTACTGACTGGATGTGTATTTTCAGAGTAATTGGAACCAACTCATAACTACCTACACATCTTGTAAACTCTGATGTATTTGTAGGCCTTTTCTAATTTGCTGAAATCTAAAAATTTAACCCTATTAATATGCAACAACAAAATTCTGGGGCAGTATCCTGTGATTTTCAGCACATGACATAGGATAGATTTAGAACTAGACTTCAGAAAACATCTGGTTTAAACCCCTAATTTTATAAATGAGGAATCTGAGGCATAAAGAAATGATTTTCTCAAAGTCACACAAAGGTAGTAAGTGGCAGCACTAGCATTTGAACCCAGGGTTCCTGACACCAAATCCTTCACTCTTTCTGCTCTATCATACCTATTGGTGTCATGTTATTTAGGTATTACAAATATAATAATTCTGTGTATTCAGAGGAAATTTCATATTAAAACCTATTTTAATTGCTTTTAATTTAAAAAAATCTCATGAAAAGTAGTTCTAATTATAAAATCACATTTAAGAATGCCACAGTTCTTTTAAAATGACATTTAAAATAAAATTCTCTGATAAAGCAATGCTAAATTGATAGCTTTTATTGATACTTTCTGCTTTTTTTTTTTCTTCTTTTAACTGGGTTTCACTTCAACAAAATGACTTTGTTCCCTGGGCATTTAATTTCTCCTGAGTTTCTTTTTCTTCACAGTTAGTCCTTCTCATTAAAAGTGAAAATGAAAACATTCAAATTTGATGTCTATAGAAATCTATAAATACGTGTAAAAAGTGGATGAATTTGATTCTTTGCCTGTAGTGGTTGTGGTCACTGTCAGTACTGGTAATTTAGAGTGCTATATAACCTCTTAGGTCATATCATGACTATGGCTTTGTTTTTATTTTTTACATTAGAAGGAGCAAATTTGTCAATTGATACAGAAATTTTATTATAATTTTACTTTGAAATAGAAAATTTCAACCTATCTCGTTTCTTTGCCATATAGATTTTTAAAAATGAACTTAGAGATAGTGTTGTCCTTTGAAGGGTAGACTTAATTCCTGTCCTTTTAGTATTAAAAGTATGTGCTTCAATTCAACAATTCTGCCAAAAGATTACCCTTTTTGTAAGCTGGCATTTTGTAACAATTGCATCAAGGGGAATGCTTTGATAAGCTTGGTAAACAGGTGAAATTTCAGTTGTGATGTTTTATATTTGCTCCTCATAAAGCACACATACACATGGTACATGTTTCTTAGTGAAATAGAAAGATTCCTCAAAAATTCGTAGAAGGGTAACCATGTCTACTGAAATGCAGTCAACAGTCTTGTTTATGGGTCTGAGTTAGTAATACTGGTGAGATCAAATAATTTTTATGGGAGCTCAAAAATATAGTAAAGTCAGGCAGAGTTAAGAGACTTAAAATTTTAGCCTTTCAATTTCAAAGGGTCATAATTTAGTTTTAGTGACATTTCAGAGTCTGGTGTGGTTATATCTAAATTACATTTGAAACTTTTGCTCTGATGAAATATGAATATGCTGCTTGTAAGCAGAATTCTTGATTACTTAGGCTTTAGTAAAATATGCTTTTGAATGGATTTGTAAAATACTTTTAGGCACTAAAGAACTGTTTCCTATTATAGTAGGTTCGTATAGTAACTTTCTAGTGCTCATTTAGTAACTCTTAAGTCCCATGTTTCTGCTGTATTTTACATCTTATATGACATTTTTTTCTTTTTTCTTTATTCTTTTAAAATGTAATAAAACAGTTTCATCTAGTTATTTGAAACCATCTTCCTGGGAGAGGTAGTAGAATGCTTTAAATTTTTTTAAAATTTAGGGGCATCTAGGTAGGGCAGTGGATAGAGCACCTGCCCTGGATTCAGGAGTACCTGAGTTCAAATCCAGCCTCAGACACATAACAAGTGACCCTGGGCAAGTCACTTAACCCATTGCCTAGCCCAAAACAAAAAAAATTTTTTTAATTTGTTTTCATTTTGCAATTAAAGAAGTGAATAGTTTCTATGTACAAGTTGTATGGGAAGAGAGAGTAAGATTTATACACTTTAAAAATTCAGAAAACAAATGCAATGATTGTAGAGAAAGTAATTCAAATTAGCGTAAGCAATTCAAGACTAGGGGAGAACTAGTTTGAATTGAGTATAAAGTTTGTAGGAATTAAATAGATCTATGCAAATTCAGTTACTCATTTTGTAATGTAAAACAGTCATTTACGTAAAATATCTCTTGTCCATTTTTCACAGTGCTTTTTTGGGACCAAAGGATATATTTCCTTACTCAGAAAATAAAGACAAATATGGCAAACCTAATAAAAGAAAAGGCTTTAATGAAGGATTATGGGAAATAGACAATAACCCCAAAGTGAAGTTTTCTACTCAACAGGTAAGTAATGGTTACTTAAAATTTAATTCTATTGTTATATTTAATGCATCCTGGGGATCTTCCTGGGCTCTACCAGAAGTCATAAAGTTACAAGACTTAAGACAGCCCTGACTTAAGAATTACAAATGATTCTTGCTTTGGCCTTTGGGGAAAAAATACTTTTGAACCTCTTTTTCTCTTTCTACCTTTCTAGGGGAAAGGTATATCAGGATTTAAAAAACTAGGGAGAGGGGCAGCTAGGTGGAGCAGTGGATACGTTATGGGCTCTGAAGTCAGGAGGACCTGAGTTCAAATCCAGCCTTAAACCAAACACTTTACATTTACTAGTTGTGTGCCTCTGAGCAAGTCACTTAACCCCAATTGCCTTCTAAAAAAAAAAATTAAGTAACTAGGGGGAATCTGGATTTTGCAGGTTAGATTTACTAAGCACATTTAGGCTGTTAGGCATCTTAAATTTAAATTCTGAATTACTAATTTAGGGTCTTCACTGCTTTTATGTACATGGAGCCTTCATTCACTTTTGACTTAAATATTTTGTATTTAATCTGGTGCACAGAATTTTTGCCTTTGAGTTTAATGTAGCTAGACTTTCTCAACTAGGTGGCACAGTAGATAGAGCACCAGCCCTGGAATCAGGAGGACCTGAGTTCATATTTGTCTTCAGATACTTAATGGGCAAGTCACTTAAGCCTGATTGCCTAGCAAAAAAAACAAAAACAACCACCACAAAAGAGTTCATTACCTTCTCAAAGTTCCAGTGTTATCATAGGCTTATGTTTTCTTCCTGGTCAATTTGTTCTTAGGACTCTGGAGAATGTTTTATCTGCCCGTTTATGGAGGTTTACAATTCACAATAAATTTTGTGGGGTGAGGAGGGTTGCTTTTGCACACATACTTGTTCCTATTCAGCTGTATGTCGTTTATTAGGTTTCCAAACCGAGGTGACATACTTTTTCTTCTTAATGGAATGAAATGACTCGGTCTTCTTGTTTGGAATCTTTTGACAATTTGTGGAAAAATTACTAACCTCTATCCAGTTTAGAATATTAGGATTGGATGCTTTGTGTATATTTGCTTCTCTCTAATTCACTTCTACCATAAAGGATCATTCCTTATTATAAGTAACAATTTTAAGAAATATAATTTACAGTTAATCCAAATTGAAAATGCAAATACTACCTCAGCCTTTACCAAGGAAATAGAGAACTAAAGGCTACAGCATGTTGTGTGAATAGCTTGAAATGCATACTAGAAATTAATGTAATTACCAGACCTTGGAGAATGAAAACTAAGGAGGCCTCCATTCAATGTATTACAGGTATCTACAAAACAATCAAATGCATCTTCTGATGTTGAGGCTGAAGAAAAAGAAATTAATGCTTCAAAAGAAGATACTGACCATGAAGAAAAAACCAGCAATGAAGTAAGTCTAAATTTTTTGAGACAGGGAAAGAATTTGATAGTAGAAAAGTAGAAATTAATATTTGCAAAGGCCAGTAGTGCTTAAGGAAATACTTAAAAGATTTTAACAACCTCAGCAGCCAACCAGCCCAACCTATATCTGAAAAAAGAATCTAGCCCACAACATGCCCAACGAGTGGTTCATCTAGTATTTGTTCAAAGATCTCCAGTTACTGAGAACCCAGCATCTCCCCAAACTACACATTCCACTTTTGGCTGTTTTTGTTTTTTAATTTATTTATTTTTAGTTTTCAACATTCACTTCCGTGAGCTTCTGAGTTTTAAAATATGAAACCAAAATTTGAGTGAAAAGATGTTTACATTTTAAATTTTTTTGAGAGCATAACGTTGTGTATGTATTTCCAGAGACTAATACAGTACCTTGCACATAATGAGTAACTTGTAAAAGTATAATGAGAAAAAAAGGAAGTTTAGTTCTTGTTCTCGACATCAACTATTTCATGGTAACTTTTGAACATTTGATGTATATATGCACTAATGGGAACCCTCGGTCCTTTTTGGAAATCAGCTAATTAGAGTTGATCACAATTTACAGAGTAGATGTGATCTTGAGAAATTAATTAAAACTGCACAAACTGAATAATTTTATTGATGTATCATTATAAAATCTGGTTTATTGATGAGTATCATAAAATCTGGCATATTTCCATAAGACACTTAGCATTCAAACTATGAAAAAGTTTGACTCAACAAATTTTTTAAAAGCAAAACTTTTATAATCCTACTTAAAGAAAAAAGTAATTTTCTTCTGAAAATGTTACATATCAAAAGAGTATTTTGGTTTTATCTCAATTATGTAATGGAATGTCAAAATACATTAAAAACCACTTAGCATTGTAACAAATAGAATAGTTTTCATGACTCATTTAAGATTTCTAAATGTCATGCTAAATTTAGAGCTGGAAAGGGACCTTAAAAGTTAACTAGATCTATGCCCTCATTTTATATATGAGGAAATTGAGGCACAGAGAGAGATTAAATGACTTGTCAAATCACACAGGTAGTGGGGGGAGGATGGTTTTGCTGAACTGCCACTTAAAAGTGTGACTCAATTTACAAAAACCTTGTTTATGAAAATGTCTTTTAAAAGGAAAAAAGACAAAGGGGATGATTAATTAAAATGTTTACATAACCCCAGCCCATTTGAAAGATTGGGGGAAGGGGGGTCCTTCCTCCATTTCAATAATATACAATTATGTATAACCTGAATTAATTTGGGAATAGGTATCTTTTAAGCAAGGTTACACCTTTTGTAACAGTTGAAATTCAGTATACTAAGCAAAAATGTGACTTCATGAAAATTAAATTCTAGCTTTCATTTCAGTAGTAAGGCTTTTTTCATATGATTTCCTATTATCACATGGTAGTTCTAGGCACTTAGAAAAAGTTCATTTCAAGCACTGGGTTATTCTTTTATGTTATAACTTCGAATGTTTTAATGTTCGTGATTTAGAAAAGCTAAAAACACTTACCAGGACTTAAGTAAATACATCTTTGGTTCTGATATATAATATATTTTTAGGTCTCCGTATCTTGCACTAATATTTTATTTTATTTGTTCTTTAGGATGTGACTAAAACAATGGACATAACCACTCCAAAGGCTGCTAGAAGAGGAAGAAAGAGAAAGGTAATATGACTGAGGATCAAATAGATTTTTTTAATTATACTGGAAGGGAACATTGGTTTAATTTCTTTCTGTTTTTGATTCAGCTTCTAACTTATCCTTCAAAGTTGATTTTTGCAGGGGCAGTTATGTAGTTTCATATTATCCAGATTCATTTTTCCTTCTCAATTTTTTGGCTGTTTCTTTGCACTTCCAACTCACAGTGGGCAGGGTAGGGAAATGAGATAAAACTCAGCAGTTTTAACACTTGTTTTCAGTCCATTCAACAGCACTGTTTTAGGGTGTCCACTTAGAATGTAGAATGTTGTTTAATTGTAGACACTGCCTGAAATGACATTTTGGGATCATCTTTGAATTTCAGTTATCCAAGTTGTTTCTGCCTTCTAGTACATGGATATTTGACAGCTGGCTGTACTTAAAGTAATTGGAGGTATTTGAATGGCTTTTTATAATTCTAGAACTAATTATATCACATCTGTTTCTGTGAACCCTGTAATGTATATGAAGGTTTTTATGATCCATATGGTTATAATAACTTTAATCAAGATTTATAGCTTTATTAATATTAATCAAGCCATTTGTTGCATTCAGACTTTTATTTTAGTATATTCTATTTTCTTAGTTATATCTTAGCAGTTTGAACTAAAGCAGTGCAGTTTATGAGAAGAAATTTCACCATACCCTATGAAACAAAAAAAAATAAATTTATGCATTTGTGAATTTTTTTTAATGTCTGATTTGTTAATGATGTGCTGAGAATAAAAGAAAAACCCAATGTGAATGATGGAATCAGTTGATTAAATAATTCAAGTACTCACCACATTCATTCTATTTCAAGGGGAACCCAGTGGAATTTAAAACAATCCTCCTTGTTCTTGGGGTGCTTGCAATGTAGCAATGAAGTAACTGCCAAAATATTTTTGCAACAGCATTCAAAAAGGGCGTGATTTTTGTTTTAATAGTTACTGTTTCAGTGCCAGGAGTGTGAATCTTGTTTTCAGGGATAGATTATTCCAATATCATCAGTGAAATCAGCTAAAAGGAAGGAAACAAGTAGATTAATCTAATTGGTTAATTTTATATTTTGAACTTAATGAAGCTACTTTTGGTCTAGTTTTGTATTAGTAACAGCAATACACATGGATTTAAGTTTTATGTTTCTGTATGTTACGTCCCTGTCAAGCAGCTGTGGGAGCTGGAAAAATGTCTGACAGCTTTCCAGCAGCTAATGATGTATCTTCAGAAATGTTGGCCAGATAACCTGAATTTTTTGAAATGTTCTTCTGTTAAAAATTTTTAAGCTTTTAAAATAGGAATGCTTTTTTTGTTTAAAAACAAATCCACAGAGACAGTGTGAAATAGTGGATAGGGAGTTGACCAAGACTGTTAAGTTAAAGAGGTTTCCCCAGCTGTGTTGTTCCTTATGCCAATGAAATCACACATCAAAAATCCACAGTACAACACAGACATTTTATAAACTTCCAGCTCAAACATTAAAATCGTATTTATTACACCATAAAATAATGCTATCATTTTGAAGTACTTTTGTCAGTCGATCATAAGTTGTGGTGTAGCAATCATGAGAGGGCTAGTTCTAAATTAGGTAGTATTTTACCTAACAGATGCTTGATTTGAGTTCTCAGACTTGCAGGTGCCTTTAAAGATAACTGTTGGTAACAGACTTGGCTGGCTTAACCATACTGTCTCTGAGCAAGTTTACATACAAAGAACAGACTGACTGAACTTCAAAAATGGAAATGAAGTTGTGGAGATAGGGTTAATCTTAATGGAAGAGGATTCTTTAGTTGGATATTTCATAACTATAGTTTTTCTGAGTAGTGATTTAAATCTACCTTCCTGAGAAATTTTCTTTAAAAGCATATTGAACACAAATGCTTTACTCTTTGAAGTACTTGGCTCTCCTATAGCTAGGGTTCTATATTCCTGATTTAAAGAAAATTCTTTACTAGTTTTATTAATGTTTCAAAATATGTTTCAAAACATAGTATATGACAACTCTTGCTCTTGCATCAAAATTGTCCTAAGATTTTTTTTTTGGAGGTGGGGTTGGGGGGGGGGAGTGTGGGGGTGCAAAGGTTAATGAAGCTACTGCATCAAGCAGTCTGATGGTTGATCTCTCTTCGTGCCTGTGCCTCCAATACTATAATATTGGGACAAAAAGTTTTTTGAGCTGAGCCATGATCGGTAGCAATTTCACATGAAAAGTTTCAAATACAAAATATTAATCTACTTAAGACTGCCTAGTCTAATATCTAGGGCGGAAATGATGAATTAGCTTCTTGTATTGTCTGAGAAGATGGCTAGAAAAGGCTGTATTATACTAATCTTAAAACTTAATAATCTGACTCAGTTTAGATTTTTCATGGTTTGTAACATTTACCTTTGAATCTTAAGAAGCTTCAAGAATTTTCTTTAAAGGGGCTGGGGATTTAAAATTTTTGTTTTTATTGTGACTTTAAGGATCATTTCCAGGTAAATATTTCTATTAGTTTAATTTTTATTTAAAAAAAATTCATTATTTTTCCTTGATTACATGTAAAAACAATTTTCATCATTCATTTAGTATGACGTGATAGGGGGAGTATCACTTGTTGACTGAAATGAAAGCAAGTGTCTAGTGAATTGATACCTCCTTTACCTACTCTGCCCATTTTGAATTGGAGACTTTTTATCAGTCAATAATCAAAGAAAATCCAAATAAGTTCTTATGAGGTAAAGAAGCAGGGTTGTTCCTATGCCATAAATCTCTTTTCAAAATGTTTTTTAATTTTAACAAATGCTAAATTCCAGGTAGAGGTTCGTACAAATTAAGATGTCATTTGTTTTCTAATCCATTTATGGGTTAGACCTTTTCTCTCAGGTATAATTAATTAGGTGACAAATTACTTAGCCAACAGATATTAATTTGTAATAAGGAAGGGGTATTTTAATAGCTTAAAAAACTTGCCTTTTTGCTGTGAATACTTGATTGAATATTTCCTCATTTGTAAAATTTAGGGTATCTGAGTTCAATGAAATTCCCCCTTTGTTAGGGGGAAGTATGTGCCTTGGTCATAATTCTTCAAAATCCAATAAAAATAAATAGCATAGATGTTTGTGTAATATTTCGTTTAAAGCAGGCTTAGTATACTACTTCACAATAGGGTATGAAAGAAAGTACAGAAGTTCTGTAGAAGCCAGTCATATTTAAATGTAAGCAGGATGAGGAGTGGCAGAAATATTTTATGTCAAATATGTTTGTGTCATACTATATGTGGATTAAACTTTTTAAGACTACTCTTGGGGAATAAATTCAACTCTACTAATCTTTTGTGATCCAGGCAGAAAAGCAAGTAGAAAGTGAGGAGGTAGGAATAGTGACCGCAGCAACAACAGCAACATCCGTCTCTCCAAAAGTGAGTCCTAAAAGAGGAAGACCATCAGGTAGGTTTATTACATTTTTTTTTCTTTTTCGTGAGGCAATCAGAGTGAAGTTACTTGCCCAGGGCTCTGAGATCAGATTTGAACTCGGGTCGTCCTGATTCCAAGGCCAGAGCTCTACAGCCTTGTTTATCAAGTTCACTACCTGAATCCAGTTTTTAGTATTTGTCTGTGGTACAGTTTATGGTCGAAGCATTTAAAAATGAAAAATTGTTAATCTAACTAGGTTAAAACAAATAATGAGGTGGTGAATGTAGGGGGACCAAAGTGCCATTCGAAATGAGTTTTGCTCTACATCTGGGAATTGGTAAAACTAATAACTTTAAAGGCTATGTCTTACAAATATGTATAGTTGTATGCCAGATTTTTTTAAAAAGAATATTTTATATACTTAGCTTCACTGTGAAGCTGTAATTCATTATTATCCTCAGATGTTCGGTAATGTTCACCTTTTTACATTAAATGAAATAATCATTGTGATATCGAAAAAAACAAGCCACTCAAAAAATATTATGATATCGTTCTTGTTAATGTGTAGTATATGTATTAGATCACTGCTATTTGAGATCATAAGAAAATATGCAAGAATACTATATAACAAAATAAACCAGAAATAAAAATGGACTGACATAGGAAAGTTAGAGAAATTGTTAAAAGTCAGGGCTCAAAGAAAGTTTTACTACATGACATTTATTAAAACTAGAAACTTTATATTTTAATTCCTATTCCAACATTTAATGCACATCAAAGGTAATATCTAAATGTTATCTATCTTTGGAAATGAAGTAAAAACACTTTCATATTCTCATTAGAGGTATTAACTAAATGTATTATAATTGGTGCATGTGTATATACACACGTGCATAAACAAATATACATGTTATAGATATTGACATTGTTAATAATTCAATATCCTTAAATATTGGAGTAGGTAAACACTGTCACTCAACCTCAATAGAATACATGTATAATTGAAAGAAAAACACTGATCAGAAATGTGAGCATCCAAAATCAGTAGGAATGTACATCATTGCTAGGTTAGCAAGAAACTTAGTGTACTCACTTATAAAGGTCTTTTTTTTTTCTTTTCTTTTTGCAAGTAGGAAAATGATTTCCATTCTACCATGTTTTTTTGATAGTGTATAATAATTTTTCAGGTTATTTACAAAACTTTCAGTTCTTTTATCTGAAAGAGAAAAATTACATGATAGCCACTTAATGCTATTACCATTGCTTTTATAAAACATTTATCTCCAAAAGGTACTGCATTTTAGTGCCTGTGAAACAGTAATAGCCCTGATAGAGAAGCAGTAAAGTACAAATTCTGATTTAAAAAATTCTTCACTTCCATTAATCTTACCTTTATATATAAAAGTCATGTTCAAATTGAAAGAGATATTGTAAAAAAATTCTTTTAAACTATCCACCAGCAATATTCCATAATGAATAAAATTAACAACCAACTAGTACTGTACTTTTTCAGTTAGATTGTAACTCAAAAAGGGAAAGCTTGTGGTTATGAACTAACATAGTCTTTTTATGTGAACGTTAGCTACAGAAGTCAAAGTTCCAAAACCAAGAGGGAGACCCAAAATGGTGAAACCGCCTTGTCCTTCAGACAATGACAAGTAAGTTTATTTTGAACATTACTGATGTAATGTAATATATTTTTTAAAAAAATTAATATGCTTATATTTTGAATTTCTTCTGGTTCTCACAACAGAGCGATTATTACCTTGATAAATTGTACAGCTAACCCTAAAGTCTTGTGCTTTGGGAAGAAGAAAAATTGCTGAAGGGAATTTTGCTAAGAATCTGTTGTGCTTTCAGTCCATCGTAATTATTATTCTATTATTCCCTTAGCCCTAAGCACTAAAGTGATACATCGGTTGGAATGTAGAAACTATAGTATGTATAAAATGCAAAAAGCGTGAAAAGCAGGAAAAAAATAGTTTTATGATAATCTCACTTTTTACCTAAGCAAGTAAAATAAAAACTAGCTTTTTTGTACAGGCATTGTGCTAAATACTTTACAAATATCATCTCATCTGATCTCCACAAAAATCCTGAGAAGTAGGTACTTTTATTACCATTCCATTTTACTGGTGATGCTTGCCCAGGGTCACAAAAACTAGTAAATATTTAAGGCTTGATTTGAATTCTGGTCTTCCTGACTGTAGACCCAGTGCTTTATATGCTGTGTCACCTCGATGTTCGTTTTCCTTTAATGTTTTTGAATATTTGGTGTAGTAGGAAATTCATTGAAGTACTTTAGAATAGTCCAAAAAGCAACAATTGAAGTCTAACTAAGTGTATGTTGTACAAAATTGCTTATCTATAAGGAACGTATATTGGTAAATTGAGATCAAATTAAAATCAGTAATGTTGTTACTTGCTTACTTGAACTGGGTAATTTTAATTTGTCGTACTTTGATAGATTCATAAGTACCTTTCAACAAAATAATTGAATAGCCTTTATGATTGCTTAAAATAGATGGAATATCTGAAAAACACAAATAGGCAACAATTAGAATATTGTTTCTCCAGTCCTTTGATCTTAAACACATTTCAGGATAGTGACTTACTAGCCCATTTATTCACATTCTATTTTAAAGGTATACTTTTTTGGTACACAAAGCTTATTTTTTATTGCTATGAATATAAGGTTCAGTTAATCACGTGTAAATGAACTCTTTTCCTCACTTCATTATTATTCAAGTAAAAGGTTCTGCAGGACATAATACCCTTTACCTATTCATAGGTCTTACGTTTCATTAGAAAAAAGTTTTAAATTTTCTTTAGGCTATCTTGACTAGTGGGGAATAGCTTAAATTTTAGAGAATATCTCCAAGGTTTAAAGCTCTTGAGTAATATAGGAATCTGTTGGTGTTACCATGATTTACAAATAGAAAATTACTGTAATCAGATAATAGAAATAAGATTTGGAGTTACAGTTATCTGGTTATAGTTTTCCTTTGTTACTCAGATTTTGGTAATAATACTTTACTGCTTCTGGGTAATATATAAGCTATGGACTGTATACTGGAACCTAATTTAAAACGTGGAGTCAGTTTTACCCAACAAATTTGGTTTGGTCGGGCAGAGATCGTGTTTTATTATTATTTATCTGCATTTTGGATAAATGTTTATTATTACAAATTTGTTGAACAAAATAGATCAGAATAGCTTGTCTGTAAACTTCAGAATGATGAATTTTATACAGGAGATCGGCTTGAATAATGACTTGATTTCTCTAACTTTTGTTTCAATTTTTTTTTCCCAAACATTAATGCCACTTTATTTGTTGGTGAAGTGCTTTGAGTTGATGAAGAGCATGCTACATTCAGCTCACAAATTCATTTAGCACCTACAATTTGTACAGCAACTGTTAACATGTAATTTATTTGCCACCTAACTGGTGATAGCTTCATAAGACATAGGTATGCTAAGAAACCTTATTTCTTTAGTTAGACTTTCATCACACAATGCACTTTTTTACCTATATTTAGGAGGAAAAGGTTATAAAGAATACTTGTTTTTGTTTGAGCGGGATAGCCCATTCAAAATTATAGTTCATACTATGAAGTGAATAAAACATGTAATTTGTACTACTTACTAGTAAAATCATTTGTCATTGAAATGATTCTTAAGGTTAGGGAATTTTGATATGTCATTAACATTGATTTCACATCAGCTAATTTTATACTGTTAATATAGTATTGCTGAAGAGGATAAAAGTAAAAAAAAAGGTCAAGATGAAAAACAACCAAAAAAGCAGTTGAAAAAGGATGAAGAGGTCCAGAAGGAAGAAGATAAGCCAAGGAAAGAGCCAGACAAAAAGGAAGGGAAGAAGGAAGTTGAGCCAAAAAGAAAAACTACAACAAAAGCAGGCTTCGCTTCAACTTCTGATTCTGAAGAAGAGGGTGAAGATCAAGAAGGTGAAAAGGTAGGCTTACTTTTTTAAAAAAGTATTTGCCTCCAACGGATATTCTATTAAGTGTCTTTAAAGTCCTTTTTTTATTTAAAAACTTACACTGCAGCACAATTTTCATGCATTTGAATTGCATCAAATATTTTTAAAATGCTCTTTGCTGATTGTTTCTAATTCCAGCCTATCAAAGGAAAATCATCTGAGATTTATTAAGAGGAATAATGGGATTTTTAATGGTCAATCTACTTTAAACTTAGACCTTGTTGCTATGAGAATGAGTTGTAAACCAAAAAAGTAGCATAGCATGGCATAGTGGATGGAGTATGGCACTTGGAATCAGAAGTAACTATTAGAATTAGTAATTATGTGGTACTTTAAGGTTGGCAAAGTGCTTTACACATGTCAACTATAGAAAGACCTAGAATAAAATCCTTTGATATTTGATAACTCTACAGGTGGGTTGAGGATGGACAACCATAATCCCCTGACTGGATTTATTTTTTTTTTTCTTTTTTGTTAGGCAGTGGGGTTAAATGACTTCCCAGGGTCACACAGTTAGTAAATGTTATGTGTCTGAGGTCACATTTGAACTTAGATCCTCCTGAATCCAGGGCTGGTGCTCTATCCACTGCGCCACCTACTTGCCCCCCTGACCGAATTTCTTAGTGACTATTTCCCATCCATAGTAAATTAGAACAGGGGCTGTTAGCTAAGAGGTTTGCTTTTAAAAAATATATATAAAAAAAAAAAGCATTGAGTTGCAGTGGGGCTGAGGGGTGGGTGGTAAAATTTTAAGACAATGTCCTACCAATGAGAGAAGAGACTTAAAAGAGATAGAAAAAATAGTATTAAAAAATTGGGGGGCAGCTAGGTGGCACAGTGGATATAGAAGAGTCAGGAGGATGAGTTCAAATTTCACCTCAGCCACTTGACACTTACTAACTGTGTGACCCTGGGCAAGTCACTTAACCCCAATTGCCTCAGCCAAAAAATAAAAAAAATAAAAAAAAAAAAAAGAAGGGACCTTGATTAATTTGGGAGAAGTGGCCAGTCCAGACTTCATATGAGGATCTTCAATGAGGGGAGAAACTCTCTATTTAACAAGAATAATATGAGAGACTTCAGTCAAATACTGTATTAAAATCTAGGGTAAGGATATCTACAGCCTTCCTCTGCTCTACCAATCAAATAGAATTTTGTTATGGAATTGATATTGGCATAATCCATCCTTTTTCTATAGCTCTTTTTCCCTAAAACTTTAACACTGTTAAGGCAATATTTACAGTATGTATAATATATCGAAACTTTGATTTTTAAATGACTTGTCCAGAGTCACACAGCTAGTTAAGTGTTGTGTGTCTGAGGCCAGATTTGAACTCAGGTCCTCCTGACTCCAGGGCCACTGCTTTATCCACTGTACCACCTAGCTGCCCTCAAAATTTAACTATTGTATTGTGAATTATGAAATTGACATCATTCTGGGGTGAATTTTTGTTCAACATGGGTCAGACCATTAGTTTGGAATATTTAAATTGGCATAAGATCTTGCTTTGAAAAAGTAAGATTTTCCTAGCTTTGTGTAATTAATTTTTTGTAATTAATTTTTTGCAAATGTTAAATGCCACTTGTCATTAGACTTGTCAAGAATCATAATGCTTGCCATGTCATAGAGGGACATGTGAAAAGAGCACAGAGGCTAAATGTATCTTACCATAAGGTTTGCCTGGCTATTTTGGCTATTTGTTTGGTGATTGAGGTAGTGAAGACAAATAACTGGTAGTTAACTAGAAATATTCCATTTTAATTGTCAAAATGAAACAGAAGAGAAAAGGAGGAAGAAATTTTCAGGCTGCTCATAGAAGGAATATAATAAAAAGTCAACATGAGAAAGAAGCAGCAGACAGAAAACGCAAGCAAGAAGAGCAAATGGAAGCTGAACCGTAAGTTTTTTTTTTTTTTTAATAGCCTACATGTTTTCCTCTTGTCTAGAGATGGATATTTAAACAAGGGCGGCCATGTTAGCTCTCACAAGTATGACTTTCCCCCTTGTATTATAATACAGCTCTCATTCTTTTTGGTCTTTTTTCATTGTCTGTACTTCAGTTGTATGTTCAAAATAGGAAGAAACTTGTCCATTTTTGCAGTGACAGGAAGCTGGCATTCAGTTAAGTTTTAAGCCTATCAAATTTTGTTAGATTATAATGTTAGTAACAGAACATTCTTTTTCTGTTATTATTCACTGATGTGTTTGGGAGCACACAATAGAAGCATCTTTGGTTATTTCTTTTCACTACCTCCCACCACCCTTGGCAAATAATAAATATACCAAATTATTGGAAACCTCAAGTCTTGAGCCAATAAAAACTTCACTTATTCATAACTAGTGGGATTCTAACTAGGATGGTAGTAATTGCAATCTTGATCAAAAGCTACAATCCTCAGAACATTTGAATATGTATAGAAACCCAAAAGCTGAACCTTCACCATAGAAATTATATCCTACTGTATTAATGGAAGTAGAAAAGATTAATTAAATTGGCAATTATGCCTTTGAAAACATGAACAGTAATCCCAAGTTCATTTTATATGTATTTAAACCTTTTGGACCTGTTCTCTTATTATTTACTTAAGCCCCACTGATGTATCATTTTTTCCTCAGGAGTTAAATATTTGTAGACTATTCAAAAATTGAGTCTAAACTTTCTCACTGTCCTCATTATGGCTTTTTATATGTTCTCTGAATACGATGTCTTAATTCTTATGTGTTTCTTTTTTATCCTTATTACACAACTTTGTAAATAGCTTTTTGTTTTTGTAAAGCATTTCAGATGGGGAAGAAATAATGCATTATGCAAAATAAAGTTTATTGTATTGTATTCCCAGCCAAACAGCTTGTAATCTACAATAAAAAAATATTGGGGGCTCAAACCATTAATCCAGTTTCTACCAAGAGAATGCAAGTGGAGCACAGGAGATGAAGAACTTAAGACACTCAGATGACTGAATTTATTCCCCCGATGGAAGAATTTTGTTCCAGATTGCTAAATTTAAAAAAAAAGTTGAGGACTTGACGAATGGGCATTAACATTTTGTTGAATTAAAACGTCACAGTGTTTCTTAGGGTATACAGCACTACATGTTAAGGAGAGAACCTAGGTATTGAAATTGGCATAATCGGATCTAGTAGCCCTGAATGTTTCTTTTCTGTTGAAATCTTGATAAAGTCATAGATTTGTATAATGACAATGTTCAAGTACATTTTAAAATAAAGATTATTTCTAAAAGCTGTTTTTAGATATCTCTTTGTTCTTGTGTATTTCAATTGGCTTATAATGTGGAATGAATTTTAAGGTACTGGATTTTTAGTGAAGTAAGACTAAAATATGTTCAGATTTTTTAAGAAACATCTGATGTCTCTGATTTAGCACAATTGTTAAATCAGATTACTGGATTATTCCCAACTTGGACACCATTTAATTTTTCTATGCAACTTTAAATCTCTCAAACCCCCTTAACTGATTAGAATAAATTGGAATTGAAAAATTATTACAAATACAGATTTTTGGTGAAAAATGGTTTGAAGTTTGCTTTTAAGTGATCATGTTAGACACTAAAAATGAAAGAAATGATGAGCACCTGAAAATATAGGGACTTTATTTTAATAAAAAGTATTAACATTTTTAAAACCTTTGGTGTTACAAAGTTGCAAGGTTGTAAAATATTTCTATTGACATTTGATAGGCAGAATAAAGATGAAAGCAAGAAGCCAGAAGTTAAGAAAGTGGAGAAGAAACGAGGTTAGTAGATGGAACCTCATAATAACACTTATTTATCTTAATATGCAAGGTTGACAGTTTGATGTGTTACTTGAACACACTGAAAAACTCTGTTCTCCTTTGTGTTCTTAATGTTTTTGTGTAAATTGAAATATCAGGGTCATTTGGGATTGTGTGAATCTTAAATTTCTCTGGCTCTTGTTACAATTTTATTAAATGATTTGTGAGTGATTTGTTATATGTACATCTACTAGTGGAAAACAGGTGTTCTCATCAGCCAAAGTTAACACTAGAAATAAAGTCCTTAGTGGAAGTAGACATTGCTCATTCTGTGTGTGATTGGTAAATGGGTTTCATCACTTATAAGAATGAGTTGTTAATTTATAGAGGCTTCAGATTAGAATTTGCTCCAAGACCAAAGTAACCACTGAGAAGTTAAGTTATAATTAAATCTTACTTTTAAAATTATGAAGTATTTTCATGAAAACTCAGATGTTGATTCACCTTATTTTCTAAATATTTAATAGAAACATCAATGGACTCTCGACTTCAAAGGATACACGCAGAAATTAAAAACTCCCTCAAAATTGATAATCTTGTAAGTTTATGATGATTATAAAATAGAAGAAGCATGGTATCTGCTGTAGCTTGATAATTTGTCGTAATATGAAGGGTTTTAGATAGGTCTGGAAGTTTACAAAAAGTCTTTTAAATATCAAAGAAAGTATTTCCTGTTAGATTTTTGACTGTTTGCTTTAACTGAAATTTTACATGTTCAAGGGGAAACTCAGAATGCTGAAACTTTTCTTTTGTTAAAAAGGATGTAAACAGATGTATTGAGGCCCTTGATGAGCTTGCATCACTTCAGGTCACCATGCAACAAGCACAGAAACACACAGAGATGATTACAACGTTAAAGAAAGTAAGCTTTTTGTCTTTTTTTTCCCTTGAGTTTAGCTCTAATCATTATACTTTGAATGTTATAGATAGATCAATATGATTACTAACATTTCTTTGTCCTTTCCAGATAAGGCGCTTTAAAGTTAGTCAGGTTATTATGGAAAAGTCTACAATGCTATACAACAAGTTTAAGAACATGTTTTTAGTTGGTGAAGGAGATTCTGTTATTACACAAGTGCTGAATAAATCACTTGCTGAACAAAGACAACATGAGGAGGCCAATAAAACAAAAGAACAGGGAAAGAAAGGTCCAAATAAAAAGCTAGAAAAGGAACAAACAGGTATGTAGTGATTCCTTATCTGTGGCCCAGATACTGTTAAATTTACTTTAAACTCTTCAAGTTACTTGTAGTTTACTAGTAAAGCTAGATGATATAATACAATAGTGGTGGCTGCACAGATCGGAGAGAATGAACTGAGCCTTCTACTGGCTACTAGATGGAGCTTTGTTCTTTATTATATTTGTCCCTTGTTATATCTACAGCTGTATGTTATCTCAAGGTGAGTCTGTCTGGTTCTTCTCTTTGATTTCTTTAGCCACTACCATTATTTTGTAACCATCCAATAGTTGGAGAAAATGATATTAAACACCCTTTTTTTTTTTCAATCTCATTTTCTCCAGCCCCCCCCCCCCCACTTTCTTAAGATTTTAATGAACCATCAGCATTTGGCTGCAGGATGAATATTGTAACTATTTACACTCTGACTTGGAGAATATACCCATAGAAAGCAATTTTGGTGGGCAAGAAATAATAAGTGCTTGCTTATGAACAAGAATTTAAGAATTGTGTGATTGCAGCCAGCCACTTTATTTCCTATATAATTATATATGTAAATTTATTTTTAAGCTTCTCATAAGTATATGTAATCTACTCAGGTTATTTTAAAAAACTTAATATTGATTATAATTGTAGTGTTGAGTTATGGATAATGTAACTAAGGTATTTTATTTCAAAAGGTTCAAAAACTTTGAATGGTGGATCAGATGCTCAAGACAATAACCAGCCACAACACAATGGAGAAAGCAATGAGGAGAGTAAAGATAGGCATGACACCACCATGAAGAAAAAGTGAGGAAATTTATTGGCTTTTTAGTATAGAATGTTTTACCCCCAAACTCCTGTTGTATATTCATGTTCTTTACTCATTTTCTTTGTTTTGGTTTGTTCCTTAAAATGGGAACAGCTCCAAATTCGACTTAAGGCTGCTCACTTAAAGCTGAAGGGATCTTGAATCCAGGTTATGAACTCTACGTCTTCCACAGAATACACATGGTTCTTTTGTCTCAGTTGAGCATATAGAAATGGGACAGTTTGTCTGCTGCTCGTGGTCTGCAAGTTGGTCACAAGTAGCTTGGTCATAACTACTTGAATTCTAACAACTATGCTATAGGATTTTTTTTTGTTTTCATAGACTAAAAAGTTTGGTAGTTTAAAATAACATCTAAAATGTTTGTGTGTTATCAGTATGTATGAACTGATCTTTGCTTCCCCCCCCTCTACTTTTTAGAACATCCAGTGAAGAGAGAGAGCCTGAAAAAATTCCAAAGGACTCAGGAGTAGAAAACTAATTTTGAAGAAAGGATTGTCACAATTTTTTCATTTAAAAATTTGAGTGCTGAAAGTTTTAAATAATTTTTATAAGCATAGATTTTTGATGTTTAAGAACTAGTTTTAAGGGGAAACATTCCCTTTATATCTTCGTTTTAAAAGTAAACATTCTTGCTGATTGTATTTGTGCAGTATTAACCGCTATATACACAGTAAAAGTGTGTGTGTCTTTGGGGGAGAAAGATCCATTTAGGAAATGTTAAACTGCTTTTATTTTTTAAGAGTTATAGTTGTAGTATATTTTTTGATTATTGTATGTTAATGTGTAGTTAATGGTGGTCAAGAGTTACTTTTTTTAACTGCCACCTTCGCCATGTTCCTAAATACCTTGGTATTTTTTTGTGCATAGTTTTTAAAATCTTGTATTTACTGGATTGTCTTTTCACTGTTTGTGGTTTTTGTAGAAGTTAAGCATTTTTATAGTAGCTAAAATGTTACTTCTATATAAGAATACTCATTCACTCCCTTTTATAAGAAATTAGTATTAATCTTGCAAACTCCATTTGCCAGGTTTTCCTGCTTTGAAACAATCTGAAGTTGTGATGCCTTTTTTTTTTTTTTAAAGCAGTTGGGTAACACAGATGGCAATTTGGGAAGTAGTAACTTGTTTTTTTTAACAGGCAAAAATCACGTGTATGTTTTCTTTCTTTTTTTTTGTAGTAGTTGGGCATAGCTTTATGAATGAAGCTGGATAAATAGGCTTACTAATTACTTTCTAATAAGTGGCAATCTATTAAGTTAATGGTGGTTACTGGGAACAGTCAAAACTATGGAATTCTTGTCACCTTACCATTAGGTAAGACTGGAGGCACTTAAAACAAGGGAGTACTACCTTTATGGAACAAAAGGTTACTAATAAGTGCTCTGATATAGGTATTCCAGATTTTAACTAAATAGCAATTTTGAAGAGAAAAATTGACTCAGTTAACTCAGTTAACATGTAAATATGCCCCCTAAAATAGAAAACTTCATGGCACTTCATGTTGTACAAGTATGAATGAGGAGAAATTACTGGTAAAGTATGAAGCATAATATTAGTTCAGTAGTTTAAACAACAGCAATACTTACAAATACAGTGTTTTAGGTTGTACACTTTTGACTACATACGTATATTTCAGGAATTCTCAATTCTTTTAGAAAGCATGTCAAATTTTTTTTTTTGTAGACATTTCCACAATTGGAGCTTGAATAAACTGGTTAACTTGTGTAGATTTAGAAGATGTACTTTCAAGAGACAAAAAGGTACAAATGAGAATACCACCTATAATATTGCTTTGTTGGTTGGAATACTGCTATATATGCCAGTAATATTAGCAATTTGCTCCTAATTTAATTTTTTTAAAAATCAGATTTATTGTAGTTAACTGAAAGTGTCAATGTAAACTTAACCAATTTTGATTAAAGAATTTTGTCAATCTGAATTCATTAGTATGTTGTTTGTATTCCACCACAGCTTACAGAAATTGCGCAGTAAGGGGAGATAGATAAAATAGAGGCTAGAATTATGCTGGCACATGTGCAACAACGTATCCTAGATCCTGAAAACTGACAGCTTGTAGTTGATTTCAAGTCATTCAACTTTTTGACTGCAAATGCATAGGAAATTTATTTCTGAAATCTTCACTTAAACTGAATGAAGTTACCACTGTGCATTTTTTAGACTTTTCTTTGTTGCATCTTAACTTACTTACTAACTTTTTGTAGCCCAAAGTTACAGAACAAAAAATATCCGAACGAGTGGTAACTTGGTACAATTATTTATGTCAAACTTCCATTACAATACTGTTACATGAAATACCAATTCTTGGCATTTTTCAGGGTGGGAAGTAAAAAATACACAACTCAAGTACATAGTAGTAAAGAGTACACAGGTATTGAACGGTGGAAAAATTGTAAATGTGACAAAACTAGAGTTTATATGATTACCAACCTTTTTACAAATGTATGATGAACTTCTCTTAAGCATAGTCATAACTCTGAGTACAGATGTTGCTCCCAAAAATCCAGACGTAAAATTCACTTTTATTTTTTTTAATGTTAACCTGGAAAAAAGAAAATGGAAAATTTGCCATATTTTTCAAAACTCAAGATGCCACCCATAGATTTTTCTTTTTTGGCTAGGGTCACACAGCTAGTAAGTGAATTCAGGTCCTCCTAAATTCAGGGCCATCGCTTTATCTACTGTGGTAGCCTAGCTGCCCCTTAGGTTTTTTCATATTAAAATGTTGACACAGACATTTCCATATACAAAGAAAGAAAAGAAAGGTGAAACAATGTGATGAAATTTCCTTCCCAGAGATATTTAGTATCAGGGTATTTTTAACCTTTTTTTTATGGCAATTGGGGTCAAGTGACTTACCCGGGGTCACACAGCTATTAAGTGTCAAGTGTTTGGTCTGAGGCCAGATTTGAACTCGGGTCCTCCCGACTTCAGGGCTGGTGCTCTACCCACTGCGCCACCTAGCTACCCCTGTATTTAATGTTTTTTGTGTCATGAACCCCTTTAGCAATTTGATGAAGCCTATGGATAGTGCATATTAAAATACACAAAACACAACACTGGCCAAGTTACAAAAATGCAATGACTGATATGGAAATGTGCATCAAATCTGCTTACTGTGGGGGGAGGGAGGGAAGAGACACAGGTGGCAAGAGAAGTAGAATGCAAAACATTAAACCCATGGTTTTTTAAAAAATATTTTAGCCAGAACCAACAGCAGTTTACTACATAGTAGTAATATTTGGTTTCTATCTTCAACATTGATATGCCCAGTATCATTTAATCTTAATCTGAATTCAAGAACATTAACATCATCAAATCTTTGTGAAAATCAAATGAAACTGCACTGACAACCACCACTAAACCATTGCTTCAAAGAAGTTCTGCCATTTACCTTCCAAGTCAGTAAAACCAATATTGACAAATTTTTGAAAGTAAGGACAAATTACTGAGGCACTAGAAATTCCACTATCTTAAAACATCAACGACACACCCCCATGTCTTTCACATAATTGACACATAATTTACCTTTGCTTTCTCTTTAGGTCCATCCAGCTCCTTGGGTCACATAAGTAATGTTAAGTGGGTCTAACTTTATTACTTCCAACTTGAACGGAATGACTAAAGCAGAGATGTGGGTTGCCTGGAACCGCTATGTGGTTAGCTCAAAGAAAGAAAAATATAACTAGAATAATATTTATGAATTTACTATGAATTTAATATACCATATACCCAAACTTAAGCTTCAGAAAAAAGCTACCAAATAATAAAACTTAACAGCTAAATCAGTTATCAAAATAGTCAAATAGATTGCTTTTGCCTAAGACGCTCCTGGCATTCAGAAAGTGACAGTCTGACAAGTACTGCAACTATTCCAAACAACCCATTGTTTGTAGTGTCACTGTGTTGTCTTCAGTTAAAAGTTCCAGGGTCAACATAAGGATAAGCAAGGAACTCCCCCAGTTTGTTGCCTTCAGAATCATAATGGAGCATTCGGAAGCAAACATCACAGAAGAAACATGGATCCTCTGGTGCAAAGCAGTCGTTGTTGGTTACCCATCTGTAATTTAAAGAAAAACTTATTAGTTTTATTTCACTTTCACTCACATGTAAAAAAAATTGAGGGAATATGGCAACATCCCTACCACATCTTGATACTCTACCACATCCTCTTACTAGCAAAATGTTTTTTCTACTGCTCTGATGAAGCACCTACATGTCAGGGTGGACACAGAAAACTAGAGTCAATAAACGAGTTCAAATTTTGTCTTCCTCATCTACAAATATGCAAAATGGGGAAAATAATACCTACTTCTAGGATTTTTGTGAGGATCAAATGAGATATTTGTAAAGTGCTTTACAAACCTTTAAGCACTATATAACTGCTATTGTTACTATGTTGCTCTATAAATGAGTTTGATTAGTAGCATTAGAGAAATTAATTTCAACCTATACACATTTAATCACGAACTTATAGTAAATATATCCCATCAATCTGACTATAAAAGTTTAAAACAACCCAATTTAAACTACCACACGAATCCTTTTTTACATGTCCCCTTTATTTACTGTAAAGTAATTAATTTTATGAGTGAATATGTATCACATCATGCATAGTTTACTCCTGAAGGGAAAAAAATGTGGGGCCAATGTGTGGATTCAATATCGTGTAGAAACATGAGATCTAAATAATGTTTTTTAGTGGTGCTTTTGCACTACAGCAATAAGCTCATTGTAAAACTGGGAGCCTGGATGTATTTAGAAAACCCATAAAATTAGAACCTTTAACCTAGATTTAAATTCGATGTACAATACTGGAAGCATGACTCATATTTAATTGAAGTTATAGAATGTTGTGAAATTATAGAATTTCACATGGTGAAGCACAGATGCATTCACAGATCAAAAATCTTTTAATAAAATAATGAACATGGGGGCAGTTAGGTGGCGCTTTCCATAGAGCACCAGGAGTCAGGATGACCTAAGATCAAACCAGGCCCCAGACACTTACTAGCTAGCTATGTGATCTTGGGTAACTCACTTAACCCCCTCATTGCCCCCCCCCAAAAAACAAAAACAAAAACAAAACCTGGGAATTCCTTGTAATTTTAACAGGTTCATTCTAAATAAATAATCATTCTAAAAACAAGCTATAATTCTGTAATAAGATGATTCTGTAGAGTCAAAATGCCTTATTGAAAACAAACAGGTGGAATCAAGACAGTAACAGGCAATCAAGATAGGCAAAAACTTAAAGGAGAGGGATGCACTGGGAGAAGTGGGAAGGGAGAGGTGGAATGGGGAAAATTTTCTCACATAAAAGAAGTGTCCAAGGAAGGGCTTTTACAGTGGAGAGGAAAATGGGGCAGGGGGAGTAGCAGGTAAGTCTTGAGTCTTACTGCAACTGACTCAAAGAAGGAAGGATATATACACACAGTTGGTTGTGTAGAGAAGTGTTAACTTCACCCAAGACAGAATGAGGAGCCAAAGAGGATTAGAGGAAGGGGCTGGGGGTTGGAAGATGGTAAAAGAGAGGACAGATTAAGGGAGACCATAGTTAGAAGCAAAATATACTTCTAAGGAGGAATAGGATAAAAAGAAAATGAGATGGAAGAACATCTACAGTAATCATAACTGAATGTTATAATAAAATAGCAGAATCCAACAGTATATTTTTAAAATAGTTTTCAACATTCACTTCCATAAGATTTTGAGTTTTAAAATTTTTTCCTCTTCCTCTCCTCCTCCCTCCCCCAGACAGAATGTAATCTGATACAGGCTCTACTTAAAAATTCATATTAAATATATTTTCATTAACTCATGATGTAAAGAAGAATTACAACTAATTACCAAACCAAACCAAACCAAACAAAACAGCAGAAGAAAAGGAGAACAAATAGTAGGCTTACATCTGCATGCCGACTCCTAAGTTCTTTCTCTGGATGTGGATAGCATTTTCTGAGATGAGCTAAGTCTATCAAAATTACTCACTGCACAACATGGCTGTTACTGTGTACGGCGTTCTGATTGTGCTCCTAAGACTTTCCAGGTTTTTCTGGTCGGCCTGCTCATCATTTCTTATTAGCATTATATTCATTATCCATTACATTCATATACCACAACTTGTTCAGTCATTCCCCAATTGATGGGCATCCCCTCAATTTTCAATTCTTTACCACCACAAAAAGAGCTGCTATAAATATTTTTATACATGTAGGTCCTTTTCCCGTTTTCATGATCTCTTTGGTATTCAGACCTATAAGTGGTACTGCTGAGTCAAAGGGTATGCACAGTTTTACAGCCCTTTGGACAAAGTTCCAAATTGCTCTCCAGAATGGTTGGATCAGTTCACAACTCCACCAACAATGCATTAGTGTTCCAATTTTCCCACATCTTCTCCAGCATTTATCATTTTCCTGTTTTGTCATGTTAGCCAATCTGATAGGTGTGATGTGGTACCTCAGAGTCGTTTTGATTTGCATTTCTCTAACCAATAGTGAATTAAAGCATTTTTTCATATTACTATAGATAGTTTAATTTCTTCTTCTGAAAACTGTTCATATCCTTTAACCATTTATCACTGGGGAATGACTTGTATTCTTACAAATTTGACCCAGTTCTCTACATATTTTAGAAATGAGGCCTTTATCAGAGACACTGGCTGTAAAAACTGTTTCCCAGCTTTCTGACTACCTTCTAATCTTGGTTGTATTGGCTTTGTTTACGCAAAAACTTTTCAGTTTAATGTAATCAATATCATCCATTATGCATTTCATAATGTTCTCTACCTCTTGTTTGGTCATAAATTCTTCCCTTCTCCATACATCTGACAGGTAAACTATTCCTTGCTCTCCTAGTTTGCTTATAGTATCAGCCTAAATTTATATCTAAATCATGTACCCATTTTGACTTTATCTTGGTATATGGTGTAAGATGTTAGTTTATGCCTAGTTTCTGCCAGACTCAACAGTATATTCTTTACAAGAGAAATAACTGAAACAGAAAGACACATAGAGTTAAAAATAAAGGGCTGCAGTAGAATCCAATATGCTTCAGCTCATGTAAAAAAAAAAAAACAAAACAAAAAACAAACAAACGACACAATCTCAGACAAAGCAAAAATAGAACAAATTAAAAGACACACAATCAGGGAAACTTTTGTGCTAAAAGGTACCACAGACAATGAAGTATTATCAAAAAATTTTACAGCAAGTTTCTCTGATAAAGGCCTCATTTCTCAAACATATACTGAGTATAGAACTGTGTCAAATGTATAAAAATAAGAGCCATTCCTTATTATTAAATGGTCAAAGAATATAAACACGCAGTTTTCAGAAGAGGAAAGCAAAGCTCTCTACAGTTATGAAAAAATGCTCTGAATCATTATTGATTAGAAAAAGGCAAATGAAAATAACGCTGAGGTTATCTATCAGAAATGACATGCTAGAGAGGATGAGGGAAAAATAGGTATATTAATGAACTGTTGGTGGAGTAGTGAACTGGTCCAACCATTCTATAAAACAATTTAGAACTAGGTCCAAAAGGTTATAAAACTGTGCATACCTTTTGACCCAGTAATACGACTAGTAAGTCTGTACCCCAAAGAGATCAAAGAAAAAAGAAAAGGACCTACATATACAGAAACAGCAGCTCTTTTTGTGGTGGCAAAGAATTAGAAATTGAGGGGATGCTCATCAATTGGCAAATGGGTGAATAAATTTTGGCATATGATTGTGATGGAGTACTATTTTGCTGTGGCAAATGATGATGGGGCAGGTGGCAGAAAAAACATTGCAAAACCTATATGAACTGATGCAAAGCAAAGTGAGAAGAATCAGGATATCGCTGTGCACAGTAACAGCAACGTGGTAATGATGATCAACTGTGAAAGACTCAGCTACTCTGATCAATACAATGATCCAAGACAATTCCAAAGGAATTGTGACAAAAAATGCTATCCACCTCCACAGAGAGAACTGATGAACTCTGAGTGCAAACTGAAGGATAATTTTCTCACTTTACTTTCCTTGCCTTTTTTTTGGGGGGGGGGGGGGGTTGGGGCACTTTTGCTAGCAAGGAAATGTTTTGCATGATTTCATATGTATAATTGATATCACAGTGCTTGAATTCTCAGTGGATGGGGGAGGAGGTGGAAGGGGGAGAGAGAATTTGGAACTCAAAACTTAATAAGAGTATGTTAAATATAAATAATTTTTTTCAAAAAAAGATAAACATTATACTTAAACAAAGTCCATCAGAATTCTCAAACTCCAAAAGCACTTCAGTGGGAGCCAGTGAACATGAGTTCTAATGCAGGCGTGTCAGTAACTTGCACTACTACAATGTGTAATTCTCAAACTCCGGACCTCAGCTTCATTCTCTCAAAAATTCTGGGGCTCTCCTAATGATCTACGTTTTCTTTTAATTCTAGAAGTGTAAGATGCCATTTTACATTGTTCTCCTAGGACTAAAATGGAAATTCTGTTCCCCTTTTGAAGTCTTGCAGTGTTTCACAATCTCATCTATTCTAATTCTAATAGTTTTCCCACTGCTGTGTTGACTACTCAGAATTTACACTATGTTATTAATCAGAAAAATAAATTTAAAGCACCCAAAGCAGAACAAATTAAATACTCATTTTTTTCCCATGTACAAAAGGCATTCCATTTCCCCCCAGAGGGTCAGAAAGCTAATGAATGTCCCCAGTAAAACCACTCATCTTACGTTCTGAGAAAGATTAAGGATTACTTACCTGGCTGTGTACATTTTACAAACAAAACATTTCCTGGTCCATAACCAGTGCTTCTTGGTGAGTAGGGGATAAAGTGTCTTATCCAAGCAGTCATCATGATGTACAAGCCTTAAGGAAGAATACATTAGGGCATTATTAAGACACAAAGTGTAATATAACCTACCTTCACATTCTCATTTGTTGCTATTCACATTACTCATCTACTAATTAGCACTAATATATAAGACAGCTTCCTATAAATATAAATTATTAAGTTAAGAATATAAATGTTATGATGGTAGGTGGGATCCTCAATGTTTGCCCGAAATACAATTTCTATAAAACCTGAGTGCAGACTATGATTGTATTTTTACAAAGAGTTAAATAAATAGTAAACTGATGTGGACAAAAAACAGTAATGGTAAAAATTAAGGGAAAAAATCTTTAGAGTATAAAAACAATTTTCAGAGCAAAATACATAATTTATTAAGCAAATGCTTAATAAATGCTAGCTGAATTGTTCAGCTGAATCTCATCCAAACTCCTGAATCTCCTCTAAAATCCCTGACATATCATCCAGTCAGCGCTTAACTGCTTCTGATGAAAGGTGCTCATTACTTTAGTGAGGAAGGTCATTAAATTTTTTATTAAAAGCCAATATATCACATCTAGTAACAACATCTTCATTACATCAAGTCGATATATGTCTCTGTCAGACTTCTACCCACTGGTCCTATTTTTGCGTCATAACTATACTGATATATCCAATCCCCTTTCCATATAAGAATCCTTTGTGTATTTCTCATGCATTCAAAATGAGAACCCTGCAAAATCCCTAAACATCAAATATACAATTAAATTCAGTATGTCTTACTTATAAATACAGGAAACTAAATAATACATTTTAAAAAGATTTACAATAATAATTAAAACACTGGGAGCAAACCAAAATAGGTTATCATACAAGTGTTTTAATTAATTAGGATTTTAACATCTTTCAATTAAAAGTAGCACTCAACTTCTAAAGAGGTTGAGTTCTAATAGTCAATTTTAATTTGTCTCATGGCAACTCATAATACATTTTCCAGAGAAACAATTACATAGGGTAGTTAGTAATAACCAAATTTTCAGCCCAACCAACATTAGCCTATTTCACTCATAATGAAGCTAAATTACGGGACTAACATTATCTTAACCATTATAAATCTGCTTCCACTGAAAAATGAGTATGAAGTTTCAAGTGGAAATACAAAAACACATCTCCCTCTCCTGCTCTGCATACAGCTGCAGTGACCAGTGACACCAGCTATCTGCAGGAAGGAAAAACACAATGGCAGAGTACAACAGGAGCACAGGCTGGTGGAGGTGAGGAGAGATGGCAACCTTAGAGGTCAGGGTCACTTAAATTGTTCCCACTGGCTCTGATAAGCCCAGGCAGGGATAGACCTAATGTTTCCAGATTCCTTAACTCCCAGAGACGGGCAAAAGGTTGCAGTTTTCACAGCAATCCCAAACAGTGCTAAATTGGAAAAAGGCAGTAATGGTGGAGGTAGGTAGCTAGGGTCTTGCATATAGAGACATTGTAATTTCAAGTGTTAATAAAAGGAGTTCCTCTACTTGTGCCATAGGTAATAGCTAAGTGAAACATATAACTAATTCCTAAGACTCATCTTAGTAAATGTAATCCTTTCAATTTTTTTTTTTACCAGAATTGAGGTAACCTATAATGATGTTAAAAGTTTTTTTTTCCTATTCTGATGTATGTTCAAAAAAGAGAAAGGAAATACAGCATAAGCTTAATATTTCTATATACCTTATATCTGTGATAATGACAACATGCTCACAGTCTCCCTGGTGACAATACAGGTAAGGAAAACCCAATTTAATGTACAGGTCATTGAAGGTGAAATCTTCCATTTTAGCAGACCGGAACTTCCCATATCCTCGATCATGGGACTCTGACCATTCAATAATTGTTCTGAAAAGAAATGGGAGTATATAGGATCAACCATGCTGCCCAAGAAACATAAAAGGATAGAGGACTTTGGCAAGAGTGTCATGTTGCACTGCAACTAACACCACCACCACCCAGTTAACTGGGTTTGTCAATTGTCAATTCTAGATGGAAGTCATTGTAGCTAAAGACATGATGAGGTTTCAATATCCTTGTCTTTCTTTTACTCCTTTAATTGGTATGGCTTTACGAAGATCCTTCTTTGGGATGGTATGAGGAAAATTTAAAAAAACTTACACAAGTATAGGATTCTGACTAAATTAGTTAATAGAACACTAGTCCATTATTTATATAATGTCCACTGGTAAGTATAGCAAAGTAATAATAATAATGACAGCATTTACAAAGTACTTTAAGGTTTGCAAAGCACTTTGCAAATATCTCATTTTATTGTTACAACACTGAAATGTAGATGCTTTCATTATCCCCATTTTATATATGAGGCAACTGAGGCAGAGAGAAGTTAAGTGACTTACCCACTAGTTAAGCTAGTAAGTATTGGAGGTCAGATTTGAACTTGGGTGTTTCTGACTCCAGGTCCAATGTTCTATCCACTGTGCCACTTAACTGTTTCCTCAAGTTATAAATAAGTAGTCTTACATCATGCTTTAAGAAACTTCTAATTTCTCCCCTCGCTGTTAATGACTTTCTTCTGCTTACTCATACTTTATCATACATTTTATATCTATGTATCACAACCCTCTACTAAATTCCAAGTTAGAACTTACTTAAAGGCAAAGAACGAATCTTAACTTCTTTTTCTAAAATACCAAGGACAATAGTCTGCACAATAGGCATTTAATATGTAGAATTTAATTTAAAAAATAATTAATTGCAGAAAATGGCAGAGTAAAAGCAATAACTTGCTGGAGCACTCCCCTAAACCCCTCCAATTACCAGTAAAAAATGACCCTAACAAATTCTAGAGCAGCAGAACCCACAAAGAGGCAGAATGAAACAAACTTCCAGTCCAAGACAACCTGGAAGGTAGACAGGAAAGGTCTGTGGCACCACAGCACAAGATGAGCTAGCACAGACTGGGACCCTGCAAACCTGCAGTGGGACTCAGGGGACTGAATCACTGGCAGCTGTGGCAGTTTCTACATTTCTCAACCTACAAACACGAAACACAACTTGAAAGGTCAGTGGGAAACATCTGTTGGACCTGGGTTAAAGAGGAGCACGGTCCAGCTCCAGCCCCAGCACAGCCCCGGGAGGGGGAGACAGGCGGGAGTGGCAGTGGAAGTGGCTGCTTCTGGAGCTCTCAGCCCACAAACAGTAAGGGGATTGATTGCACGACTGATCAGAAAGAGATTACAGGGGTCTCTCTGCTGGCACTGAGGCAGGATTCTGTTGCTTTGCCCACTCTTGGATCTGGGTCACAGTCCTGGGTGGCAGTCCTGGGGCGAGGAGGAGCACTAGCATAGCAGAGCTTGTGGCAGCAGGGGAGAGGGAACCCTTCTCACACTTCAAGGGCAGAAAAGAATGCTTGTGGTCACTCACAGAGCAGAGCACAGGCCAGGAGATGAGTAAACATCTCTCCTTAGATCATTCCACCTTGGAAGAACTGAAAACTTACAGGTCCCTAGAAGTATCTCTGAAAACAGCTGCACAAAACCCCTGAAGCTTGGGACAGTACGGCTTCCATACTGGAAGCAGAATCCTACCTTAACAAAGAGTTAAAAAGTCAAATAATTGGGCTGGGAAAATGAACAAACAATGGAAAAAAATTCAGACTACAGAATCTCACATTGGTGACAAGGAAGATGAAAATATACATTCAGAAGAAAACAACAAAGTCAATACTCCTACATCCAAAGCCTCCAAGAAAAATATGAACTGGTCTCAGGCCATGGAAGAGCTCAAAAAGGATTTTGAAAATAAAGACAAGTAAAGGAAAAACTGGGAAGAGAAATGAGAGTGATGTAAGAAAATCATGAAAAACGAGTCAATAGCTTGCTAAAGAAGACACAAAAAATACTTAAGAAAATAACACCTTAATAAGCAGACTAGGCCAAATGGCAAAAAAGGCAAAAAAAAGCCAATGAGGAGAAGAATGCCTTAAGCCACATTTGTCAAATGGAAAAGGTCAAAAGCTCACTGAAAAACATAATTCCTTAAAAATGAGAATGGAGCAAATAGAAGCTAATGACTCTATTAGAAATCAAGAAATTAAAAAAAAAAAAGAAATCAAGAAAATATAAAACAAAATCAAAAAAATGAAAAAATAGAAGACAATGTGAACTATCTCATTGGAAAAAAGACTGACCTGGAAAATCGATCCAGGAGAGATAATTTAAAAATGATTGGACTACCTGAAAGCCATGATAAAAAAAAAAAGGGCCTAGACATCATCTTTCAAGAAATTATCAAGGAAAGCTGTTCTGATATTCTAGAACCAAAGGGTAAAAAAAAAAAATTGAAAGAATCCACTGATCACCTCCTGAAAGAGATCCCAAAAGGAAAATTCCCAGGAATATTACAGCCAAACTTCAGAGTTCCCAGGTCAAGGAGAAAATACTGCAAGCAGCGAGAAAGAAACAATTTAAGTATTGTGGAAATACAATCAGGACAACACAAGATTTAGCAGCTTTTACATTATGGGATCAGAGAGCTCAGAATATGACATTCCGGAGGTTGAAGGAGCTAGGATTAAAACCAAGAATCATCTATCCAGTAAAACTGAGTGTAATCAATAAGGGGGAAAAATTGACATTCAATGACATAGAGGAATTTAATGCATTCCTGAGAAAAAAATCAGAGCTAAATAGAAAAACTGACTTTAAAATACAAAACTCAAAAGAAGCATGAAAAGGTAAACAGGAAAGAGAAATCATAAGGGACTTACTAAAGCTGAACTGTTTATATTCCTACATGGAAAAATATTTGTAACTCACGAGATCTTTCTCATTATTAGGGTAGTAGGAGGGAATATATATAGACAAAAAGTACAGGGTAAGTTGAATATAAAGGGATGATATCTAAAAAATAAATTTAAGGGGTGAGAAAGGAATGTGCTGGGAGAAGGAGAAAAGGAGAGGCAGAATGGGGTAAATTATCTCATATCAAAGAGGCAAGAGAAAGCTTTTACAGTGGAGGGAAAGAGGGGAGAGTTGAGAGGGAATGAGTGAACCTTATTCTCACTGGATTTGGCTTAGGGAGGGAATAACATACACACTCAATTGGATATGGAAATCTATCTTACCCTACAGGAAAGTAGGAAGGAAGGGGATATGAGGTGGGAGGTGATAGAAGGAAGGGCAGATTGGGGGAGGGGGGGTAATCAGAAGCAAACACTTTTGAGGAGAAATAGGATTAAAGGAGAGAACAGAATAAAAAGGGGTGTGATAGGATGGAGGGAAATAGAGTTAGTCTTTCACAACATGAGTATTATGGAAATGTTTTGAATGACCATACATTTATAACCTATATCGAATTGCTTACCTTCTCAATGAGGGTGGGTGGGGGTGGAGGAAAAAGAGAGAATTTGGAACTCACAGTTTTAAAAACAAACGTTAAAAATTGTTTTTACGTGTTACTGGGAAATAAGACACACAGGCAATGAGGTATAGAAATCTATCTTACCCTACAGGAAAACAGAAGGGGAAGTAGATAAGAAAAGCGGGGGGAAGTGACTGAAGGGAGGGCAGATTGGGGAAAGGGGGTAATCAGAAACAGGAGTCTTGGGGTGAGGGGAGGGGAGAGATGGGGAAAAATTTTGGAATTCAAAAATCTTGTGGAAGTGAATGCTGAAACCTAAAAATAAATTTTTTAAAAATTACATACAGTTTCTTGCCCTGAGTAAATACAAAGGAATCAAAGTCAATTCATTTTACTACCCCATGATAAAGAACAGCTTGGTGATATGTTTTAATGGTATAACTAAATTTTTTTGATTTGTTTGCAAGGCTGCAATATAAAAGCCTATGAGTAAGTTAAAGAAAAGTTTCTGTTTTTAAAGATATTTGCAGAAGTTAATATAAATCTGCCCTAAAATAAATATTCTCTATACCTCCCTGGTAGGACAATTCCTATTCTGGTTTGATAAACGCTTACGACTAGTTCAATGCTCTGATCACAGAATTTTCAAAAAGTTAGGAAGTTAAAATTTTTATCCAAATTATCTTAGGTAATCAAAATAATTCTTATCCAAAAGTCTTCATTTCTAGCTTACTTATATTGCCTCCACTTTCAAACTGGAAAAAAATAGATTTTATCAAAAATAATTACCTGCTCAAATCTCTGCATTCAGGGTATCTTCTATCATTGTAAAATGTTCCTTCAAAATAGAAGAAAGCTGACTTGTAAAGATCCTATAAGAAACGATATAAGAGAATTGAGGTGGGAAAATGTGCCATTAATAATTACACAGAAAGCATGTACTACTGTCTACATTAAAATGTGCCATAGTGTTAGCCACCAGTATGGTTTTAAAATTATATAAAACTAATTTTATGGGAACTCAGTATATATGCAAGGTTCTACCATTTTCAGTTTATTATGCTTTCATTTTAGTTGTTATACTCTGATTTTAATTCATGTTTATACTTACATTTGAAGTGGTTCATAAAAGAGATTCCCTTAAAACCAGCATACTCAATCTCCTCTTCCTTTTTTATATTGTATGTACATACTTCAATGTCAAGATACTGTGATGGAAAACCTAAACGTTTTCATGCTAACAACCTTTTTTTTCCTTGTGAAAACCAGCATGAAGTTTCAGAAATCTTCTGCTGCTATTTATCTTTAGCATAATTATAAGAGTAATATTCTGTTGCATTTGTACAATGCTTTTTCTTTTTCTTTCTTTTTTTTTTTACATTTTTAAAGTGCTTTCATAGATAAGATTCCACTTCGACCCTATTTTAGTGATGAGGGAACTAGGGCTGGTCAGATGACTTGTCCCAAGTGTCCCAGTGGTGTTCCAGCTGGTATCAACACGTAGGTCTCCTGACCCTTCAGAGTCCATATGCTTTTTACTACAATGGTAACTAGAATATGACTAGTTTCTATCTATACCTAATCCTGGGAGTTCACCCCAATAAGTCCCTTCATATGACTAACCAACCACAATGTTACAGAGGATGAAGTAAAGAAATTCTAAAAAGAACTTGGCAAGATTCTCTAAACCAAGCTGTACTTGTTGATTTCAGTGCAAACAGTGTCACAGGAAAGAAAGAAAAATGTGAAACAAAGGTTGGAAGACTGAGGTCAGTATTAAGAAATGGAGCTTTGTAGATTATTCAGAAGCCTTATATGATAAATACTTTCTTTAAAAAGAGTCCAAAGCCACTGAAGCACCAAACATCACCAAAAATGAAGCTTAATAGTAAAAAATAAATTTTTCTTATCAACTTTTTATTTTTCTCCCTCCCATTTCCTTTCTCCTCCTCTAAGAAAAACAAAAACAAAATCTTTGACTGTGTATAAATACAGTCGAGCAAAACAAAGTCCTACATTGGCTACGTCCAAAGGATGTGCCTTCTTCTGCATATTAGTCCATCACCTCTCTGCCAGGAAATAGGTAGCATTCTTCATTATCTATCCTCCAAAGAAATGTGAAAATTCCCTCCTCAAACCAGGAAACAAATAAAGCTTAAAAAAAAAAAAGACAACGACTCTGATAATCACTATTTTTTCTCCAAGAATTTCAGCCTATGTGAACAACAGCCACCATAACTATGAGACTGAAGTGAACCATAAGCCAAGGCCAAGGCTGGGTTAGAGTGTAATTTCATTTACAAAACACTGAGGGGAAAAAAAACAAAGAGATCCCAACTAACAGATGATGACATTCCATTTCATGGCCCTGTCTTTCTTCTTTGATAGAAAAATAAACATATGGTGTATATTTGTCGTTGCTTAAAAGAAAAGGTTTTCAGACATTTCATCTTCACCTCAACCTTCCTTCCACCCACCCTGAACCAAACATCTTTGTAATTCTCATTGTCTTTCTAATCACAGGGCATTTATTTCCTTTGTCATATACTTGTTCTTGATGTTTTAGATATTTTTGAAAAAATAAAGTATTAAGTATCAAAAAAAAAAAAACCAAACTGAGAGGTGAAGGTTGATGGCCAACTATAAACAGTATTCTTATGAAACAGTGAAAAATAGAAAGGAAAAATGTCTTGGGATAGCTTGACATGAGATCCAGCTTAGCCATATCATCCCAAGAGTATTTAGAGATGACACTAGGAGAAAAACAAAATGTGTGAATCCAACAGATTACCAGCATTTCTGGAGAATTCTACTGCTGTTATCACTGACAGTGGGACTACCACAATTAGGACTTTTTAAAATTTTTGGTAAATAGTATTTTATTTTATCCAACTACATGTAAAGATAGATTTCAACATTTACTTTTTTAAATACGATTTCAAGTTCCAAATTTTTCTCCCTCACTTCTATTGCTCCTCCCTCCCCAAGACAACTAGCAATCTTCTATAGATTATACATGTGCAATCATGGGAATGTTTTCACATTAGTCAAGTTGTGAAAGAAGAAGCAGAACAAAGGGAAAAGGCACACACAAAAAAAGTGAAAATAACATGCTTAGATCTGCGTTCAGACTCCATAGTTCTTTCTTTGGATGTATATATCATTTTCCAGCACTCTTTGCCTTACTTCTCCAAAAGTCTCATGATAGAAAATGCTATTCATATCCTGAGAAAGAACTATGAATTCTGAATGCAGATCGAAGCATACTATTCACTGCTTTTTTTTTCTTTTTGTCTTGTTTCTTCTTTCTTGTGGTTCCTCTTCTAATTCTTCTTTACAACATGATTAATGTGAAAATGTTTAATAGGAATGTATATGTAGAGCCTGTATCAGATTGTATGACGTCTTGGAGAGAGAAAAAGGGAGAGAGGGGGAAAAATTTAAAACTCAAAAGCTTATGGAAATGAAATGTTGAAAACTTTCGTCTTTTGCGTAACAGAATTAGAATTAAAGTTGTGGTGATTGCATTATTTTCCAAATAAACACACAAAATGCAAGTTATAACCAATTAGTGGTCAAGTCCAACAACAGATCTTAACAAGCAAGTGCTGGCAGGTGAGCATGTCTCACACTGTTTGGAAGTACAGCATGTGTTGGCAGGAATATGTGCACGTAATGACTTGTTTACAAGACTATAGTATATGGTTACATGACACAATATTGCATCATCAAAATCTCAATGCAGGAAAAATACCACAAATTTACAATAAATTAGGATGTCATTTTTAAAAATAATATTTTATATATTTTTTGAAATGATGCAAGGAAAAAAAAAACCCATTAAAGGGTAAAGAAAGTAGATTTCCAGAGGGGCAATGAGTAAGTTTTTTTTTGAAAAGGGGGTGGTAGGTCAAATAAGTTGGGGAACTTTTGTCTCAGATCACTGTATTGCTGAGAAGACCTAACTCAATCATAGTTGATCATAGCAGCATTACTGTTACTGCATACAATGTTCTGGTTCTGCTCACTTCACTCAGCAGCAACTCATGTAAGTCTTTCTAGGTTTTTCTGAAATCTACCTGCTCATCATTTCTTATCGCACAAAAGTATTCTATTACATTCATATACCACAACTTGTTCATCCATTCCCCAATTGATGGGCATCTCCTCAATTTCTAATTCTTTGCCACCACAAAAAGAACTGCTGTAATTATTTTTATACATGTAGGTCCTTTTCCTGTTTTTATGATCTCTTTGGGATACAGACCTAGAAGAGGTATTGCTGGGTCAAAGGGTATGCACATTTTTATAGCCCTTTGGGCATAGTTCCAAATTACTCTCCAGAATGGCTGGATCAGTTCACAACTCCACCAACAATGCACTAGTGTCCAATTTTCTTGTATCTTCTCCAACATTTATCATTTTCCTCTTCTATCATATTAGCCAATCTGATAGGTGTGAGGTGGTATATCAGAGTTGCTTTTTAATTTGCATTTCTCTAATTAATAGTGATTTAGATAATTTTTTTTATATGACTACAGATAGGTTTAATTTCTTCATATAAAAACTAGCTATTCATATACTTTGACCACTTATCAACTGAGGAATGACTTGTATTCTTATAAATTTGATTCAATTCTCTATATAGTTGAGAAATTAGGCCTTTATCAGAAACACCTGCTGTAAAAATAGTTTCCTATCTTTCTGCTTTCCTTCCAATCTTGCTGGCATTGGTTTTGTGTGTGCAAAAACTTTTCAATATAATATAATCAAAATTATCTATTTTGCATTTCATAATGTTCTCTATCTCATTTGGCCATGAATTCTTCTTTTCTCCATAGATCTGACAAGTAAACTATTCTTTGCCCTCTCAATATGCTTATAATATCACCCTTTATGTCTAAATTGTGTACCCATTTTGACCTTATCTTTGTATACGGGGTGAGAAGTTGGTCTATGCCTAGCTTCTGCCCTATTTCCAGTTTTCCCAGCAGTTTTTGTCAAATAGTGAATTCTTATCCCAGAAGCTAGAGTCTTTAGGTTAATCAAACGGTAGATTACTAGTCACTTACTACTGTCTTGTGTACCTAATCTATTCCACTGATCCAGCCCTCTATTTCTTAACCAGGACCAAACAGTTTTGAAGATTGTGCCTTATAATACAGTTTCAGATCTGGTACAACTAGGCCACCTTCCTTTGCATTTTTTTTCCCATTAATTCCCTTGATGTTCTTGACCTTTTGTTCTTCTAGATGAATTTTATTATTTTTTCAAGTTCTATAAAATAAATTTTTGTTAGTTTGATTACTACAGCACTAAGTAAATTAATTTAGGTAGATTTGTCATTTTTATTACATTAGCTCAGCCTACCCACGAGCAATTGTTATTTTTCAATTGTTCAGATCTGACTTTGTCTGAAAAGCGTTTTGTAATTGTGTTCATATAGTTTCTAGGTTTGTCTCAGCAAGTAAACTCCCAAATATTTTATATTGTCTACAGTAATTTTAAATGGAATTTCTTTATCTCCTGCTGCTGAACTTTGTTGGTAATACATAGAAATGCTGATGATTTATGTGGGTTTACTTTATATCCTGTGACTATGCTACGGTTGTTAATTATCTCAAGAAGTTTTTTAGTTGATTCTCTAGGATTCTCTAAGTATACCATCATAACACTTGCAAAGAGCGATAGTTTTGTCTTATTGTCTACTGTAATTCCTTCAATTTCTTTTTCTCCTTTTATTGCTAAAGCTAAAATTTCTAGTGCAATACTGGATAATAGTGGTGACAATGGGCATCCTTTTTCACCCCTGATCTTACTGGGAAGGCTTCTAGTTAGTTTATCCTCATTAATGATCATGCTTGCTGATAGT